ACAATTTTCTAAGCAAACAAACAATGCAGCCATGGCCCACAAAAGCAAATACATCAAATAACAAAATACAACATAACAAAATACAACAGAACACAAATAAGTCCAGGCAGGGCACCAACCAAGTGCAAAAGACAATTATTGGTACCAGCAGATGAGCCACCAAATCTGCTGCCGAAGGCACTGCTCATACGAGGAGGGGAAATCACACACGGCATCTGCTATAACACACCAGGAGCCGTCAGGCTTCCTGGCCTTCTCTGGCTGTAGTCTCGGCTACAAGGCACACACAGCATCCACCCCCAGGATGCACTAGCTCTGGGATTGGCAATTTTATTCTGTTGGGGGTAATCGCCAACCCTCAGGGTTTCTGTCTGCAGTCGCTCCAACACTCGGCCTTCATGGCCACCCATGCGACTCACAGACCCCTGCTCTCAAGCCAACCCACTGCACAAGCACATGGGTTGGGGATCCAAACTTTGCATTTGGCTTGGGCTCCACCCCAAGCCACATTCCCCACCCGTCCCCCAAGGACGGGCTCCTCAGCTCCTCACCCTCACTCAAGAATGAGCAGGGCATCACCCACAGGTGATTTTACGAGACTCACAGGGCTTCAGCATACCCAGGCTGCTTAACAGCCGCTTTAGGGCTTCTCAACTTAGCATCAGTACCAGCTTTTGCGACCTTAGTTGGCTTTTCTCCTCCACCTGGCCACTGGGCATACACAGGCTGCTTTTGGCCATCTAGGCCCACTGGCCACCCCCAGATTCTCAAAAAATAAACATAACCTGCTAAGGTCCTCCGCCTTCTGGCGGGATTGTCAGTCCAAAATCATCAGTTCATCAGTCTATCAGTCCATTGGCCTCTCCCTGCTTCAGCAATGGCCTGCTGCCTCAGGGGTCATTGGCTGGTCCTTTCCGGTGTCGTTGGCTGGTCCTATCCGGTGTCGTTGGCTGGTCCTTTCCGGTGTCGTTGGCTGGTCCTATCTGGTGTCGTTGGCTGGTCCTTTCCGGTGTCGTTGGCTGGTCCTTTCGGGCATCTCGTTCACGCCAGGTCTCATCCTGTAGCTCGTGGACGTATCCATCTTCTATACCGCCATGGTGCCTCCAGCGTCGTCACAGGCAAAGTCTGTTCTCCTTAGTCCCTCCAGGTCTTCGGAGGGCTCCAATACCCGTCTGCATGGATCTTGCCGACATACGCCAATTGTAAGGGACAGGACTGACCACAGTGCGGGTTTTCTGATCCCATGCAGATCGGGTAAAGGAGGAGTCAGAGTCCTCAGTAGTTTTGCAGGTTTTTTATTTGGGGTTCACCAGGCATATGGCAGGCAGGGGTGCTGGCTGGGGGGCTGGGAGGCTGGCAGGCCTCCCAGCCCCCAGCAAGTCCTCACTCTATCTGGGCTCTCTAGCGTTCGTTCTGCTGCTTCTCGGCTTCGGCTTCGGCTGCGGCGGCTGCTGCTGCTGGTGCTGGTGCTGCTGGCGTCCCCCCGTGACGCCGCCCTTAAAAGCACAGTCTTAGCTCAGCTGAATCCCATCTACCTATGCCCACACCCTATTCCAGGTGCCCACCATCAGGCATGCATTCAGGACAAGGATCCATCATCTATCCTGATGGCGGAAGGGCAGAAAAGCCTGATATTTTCTTTACCCTACATCTGGCGTTCTCTCTGCTTCTCTTCTTCTCTCGGCTTCCATTCATTCTTGGCTGCTTCTTGGCTTCTCTTTCAGCTTCTACTGCTGCTGGCATCCCTGTGACACAGCCCTTAAAAGCCCAGTCTTAGCCCAGGTGAATCCCATCTACCTATGCCCACACCCTATTCCAGGTGCCCGCCATCAGGCATGCATTCAGGACCGCAAGGATCCATCATCTATCCTGATGGCGGGAGGGCAGAAAAGCCTGACATTTTTTCCTTACCCTACATAATGATACGAATATTTCAAAAGGAAACTTTTTTTCTGAGCAGTATGTCTCAACACAGGGCTTCAAATATTCAGCAAACCATGTGGAAAACAGATGTATTTTGTTGTTTGATTTAGAGTGCAGGGCAGATTTATCATAATTCTTAAGGGTTCTAGGATTTTCGGAATGGGAAATGAGCATTAGCTCCAACTCAAAGTCACCAGCTGCATTAGCCCCTAACAAAAGGGTCCGCAAGTCCTCTGACACTTTGAAGCCAGGCATTGACTTTTCCTCTCAGCTATGCAAGCCTAGATGGCATCTTTTTCCAATAGAAGGCTGTTTTGTCTACCTTTAAAATTTGTTGTTTAGTATGGCCACCTTCATTAATGATCTTAGCTGTGTTTTCTAAATAATTTGTTGCAGCTTCTAACAGTACATTGGCATTTTCTGCTTCATCTTGCACATTTATGTTAAGAAAGGGTTTCTTTCCTTCCTTATGAACCAATTTCTGCTAGCTGTAAACGTTTCCTCTTCAGCTTCCTGTGTCTCTCTTAGACTTCATAGAATTTGAAGAGTTAGGGCCTTGCTCTGGAATTTGGTTTTGGTTTATTGGAATGTTGTGTTTGGCTTGATCGTCTAATCTAGACCACTAAAATTTTCTCTATATCAGCAGTAAGTCTTGTTTTGGGTTCCCAGACCCAATTTCCATGTAAATGTCTGGAAGTTTCCCTATACCAGCAAGGTGTCTGAGAATTTAATTTAATTTAACTCAATTCTAATGCTATCTGCCTGGAGATAGCATCAGAGTCCATAGGTAAAGAGCTCAGTCTCCCCAAACGACCCCCCTCTTCAGATGCAGTCACAAGCCTTGCTTATTACCTGTAATAAGGTAACAGTTAGACTAACTGGTTCCAGACTAAAGTTCCCATAATTCCCCTCCTCAGACTTCAGGTGCCAGTGGCAAGGCCGGGTTATTAACTTAACTGTGCTTCCAATTGGCAAAAGAGCAGAGTCTGCCAAGGATGACATCCTCAGCTTCAATTAATTTGCTCAAGTGGCTTACAGAACTCAGGGAACCCTTTACTCACTAAATCACCTACTTCTTACAAGAATATTCAGGAACAGCCATTTGGAAGTGATGCATAAGGCAAGGTATTAGGGAAAGTGTGGAGTTTCCATGCCCTCTTCCAAGCATGCCATATTCCCCAGATCTCCATATGGTCACCAATCCAGGTCTCCAAAACCTTTCCTTTGGATTTTAATGGAGCCTTCATTTTACAAAAACAGGATTGATTAAATTGCCGCTGGCAATTTATTTTTTAAATTTATTTTATTTATTTATGCATATAATAGCTGGGGTGTAGGCCAGAGGTGTGGGGGGAGGGGTGAGAGGCTTCACCAGAGACAGAGTCGGGAGCAGAACAGGCAGACTGACTGAAATACACTGGTGAGGGGAGCAGTGGGCCAGAGAGGAGAGGTCTGCTGTGCTATGTGGGTTAGCTCCCTGGCAGGGAATCAAACTCATGCTGCAGTGGCTGTGGATTGCTTCATAGTGCTGAGACTTAACCCCTTGAGCCACCAGGGAGGCCCGGCCGCTGGAAATTTAATTCAATTTCCAGCCTCTCCCACTCCCAGAGGATAGGAATGGAACTGGAAGTTCCGTCTAATCACATAGGCAACTAGTCCCATTCTTAGGTATGCCCAAAAGTCACCTCATTTGTTAATAAAAGACACCTTTATCTCTCTGCTCCGAGGCCTGCTGCACAAACCACAGGCTTTTGCAAAGCTACACTTATGGGTTATGTTTGGAGAGGGTGTCAGTAGTAGACCACTTGAATATTCAACACAAAGAGGGGCCTCTCTGGTGCTGCAAGGGGTTAAGTCTCAGCACCATAAAGCTATCTGCAGCACCAGTTCAATCCCCAGCCAGGGAGCTAATCCACCTAGCATAGTAGACCTCTCCTGTCTTGCCCACTGCTCCCTCCCCTCAGCAGTGTATTTCAGTCTATCCACCTGTTCTGCTCCCCACTCTGCCTGTGCTGAATCCTCTCACCCCTCACACGCTGGCCTAACCCCCCAGCTCTTGTATGCACAAATAAAAATAAGTCCTTTGAAAAAATTCATTTGAAAAATTCAACACAAAGAACCAGTTTGGCTTTGTTTGCATATCTCAACCAGATTATTAGTTTACTTTTCACAAAATATCATCCTGGAATGGTTTAAAAGATACCATCTAATTTTATTTTAGATATCCTCCACTCCTCAAATCCTCCTCCCCCATTTCACCCTTTACAAAGGGTTCCTGGTACAATTCAGATACCAATAACTGAACTCACTATAGATTTAGAACTTAGTTATCAATAACAAAAATTGAAGTCAGTTAATTTTAAAGATCTAAGTGGGTTTATTAAATGATTCGTGAATCTAGCAAGTAGAAAAGGGCTGCAAGAAATACAAAATGAAAGCGTTTTACAGTCAGAAAGATAAGGCAAAGTCACCTTCCTTTAGGGGTCTTATGCAGATAACCTCAATAAGGCTGACAGGAAACTCCAGACTGGCTAGTTTAAATTTCCACTTTAGGGAGAAGCTGAACTACAATCAGGTTAGGTATTAAGTCCTGGAGTGGGAGTGGAGGAGCAAAGCAAATCAGTTTCTATCTTTATATGACAAAATATAGCGTGCCCCAATCTGATTAACCCTCGTTATTCCCACTTTAGAATACCTTCCTTTCCCTCTTCGTACTCTGCAGTCGGCCTTGAAGCCTTCAGAACCCTAAGTCCTCTTTTTCTCATTCACACTTTCTTCAACCAAGAAGAAAGGGGATCGAACCGGCACTGCAGAGGCTGCGGACAGCCTCGCAACCCAGCGCTCAACCGCTGCGCCACCCGGGGAGGCCCCGAAACGTGTCTTTCGAGGTGAAACGTTTCATATTTGTATGCTCTCCCCTAAATTCAGTGCCATCCCCTTAGTTTCACCTTTTGCTAAGTTTTAATTTTATCTGCCACGTTTAAAAGTGGGGTCTGAAACATACGATCTGAAAAAGAACCTGTTAAAAAATCCTACTGAATTCCCTTACCAGTCCCTTAGCCCCTTCCCCACTTAACTGTTTCCACTCCAAACTGCCCAGGATCTGAACACCGAGCATTTCACAGACTATTAGGGCATCGAGGGCCTCGGGGCTGGGGCGCGGGGCCCCCGCTGAGCCCTGGCGGGATCTGGGTGTCCGAGACCCCCCTGCCCGCGGCGGGGAGGGCCGGGGCCGCTTCCGGCCGCGCGGCTGGGGCGAAGCCCGCGAGCGCCCGGGGACTCGGTGGGCGCGACGGAAGGGCGGCCTCGGGGAGCGAGGGCGGGAGGAGGGCGAGGGCGCCGCCCGTTCTTGCAGATCCGGGAGCGGGGTTCGCCGAGCGGCGGCGGCCGCGGGCTGACTGGCTGCCGCGCCGACCGGCCGCCACGAAGCGACTGCCACGTCAGGGCCACTTCACAAGCCCCGGGCGAGGGCGGGTGACGCAGGCCGGGCGGCGGCCGCGGGATTGGGCCGCAGCCAGACGACGGCGCTGACCTCCACCCCGGGCGCCGGCTCCTGCTACGCCGCGGCCGGCGCCGGCGCCTGCCCGGCCCTCAGAGGGGCGGGGGAGCAGCGGAGGAGGCGGCGCCATCGCGAACCCCGCGCCTCGCCCGCACTCTCCCCGCCGCGCCGCAGTCAGGGCCAGGGCCGGGCGGGAGCCGGGCGTGTCTGCGGAGGCCCCTCGGCCAGGCTCAGTCGGCCCGGGCCGCGCTGAAACCCGGGCGGCGGCGCGGACAGGAGGCGACGGCGGGACGGGAGGCCGGGGCCGGGCCAGCGACCCGCCATGGAGACCCGCTACAACCTGAAGAGTCCGGGTGAGCGGGGCTGCGGGCGGCGGCGCCTGCAGGGTGGCTCGGGGAGGCGGGGGCGCCCAGACTCCGGTCCGGGCGCGGCGGTGACTTCGCGTCCGCCAGCACCGGGGGCGCCATTCCCAGTTTGGCGCTGTACGCGAGACCGCCGCCCGCTCGGGTGGTGCAGGCCGCAGGGCAGGGCGGCCGGGCGAGCGTGGGATGCCCAGCTTGGGGACCCGGCCAGCGCCCCGGAGCACCCGGACTCGCCTTTCTTCTTGTTCGTTGTGTGGGACTGGACCACGAACTCGTCTCTAAGGAAAGGTGTCCACGTGATGTTCATGGGGGATAGCAGCCCCCTGCCCTCCCTGTGCCCGGAGCTCCGTCGTTATTTCTTCCTTAGCTGCCACCGGACTTTTTTTATTCACCGTTTGACTCACTCACGTTTGAGGATTTGCTTGTTTAAATACCCTATTGGCAGCCTTTTAGGCGAGTGGAATTATAGACTTAAAGGAAATAGTCTGTATGAAACTAACCAGCTAAGAAAATTGACTAGTTGAGCCATATTGTTACAGCCAACCTGTGATTTTGACTAATGGGATCTATATCTAGTCAGTTACAGAATGACATATCTCTACAGTCAGTTACAGAGACTAATTTTTCTGTGTGTTACCACTCCTGTTTCATTCACAGGCACAACCCAAACAATTCCAGCCTTAAATTCTTTTCTGGTGCATTATAAATGTGAAAGAAAAGCAACGAGCTTTTTCAAATTAAGACAGATTTGAGATGGGTTCTATAAATAGTATTTTATCTGTACCTTGATAAATTTGTCTGAAGGGAGAAATTTTATAGTTCAGCTCTAAACAATAATCCTAGGGTATTAGTGATGATTTGACCAATTTTTGCCTTTTTTTTTTCCTAAATAGCATTGTGAATCTCTGACTTTTTTTTGAGGTTATGCATATTCCAGAAAAATTTGAAGGTATCGATTGAATGATGTCAGCTAAGACCTGACCAAGTACATAGAATCGCCCTGAACATTTGCAGGACCACAGACTCCTTTAAAAATCTGGTTAAGGTTATGGGGTTCTCCAAGAAATACACTGATAAAATTTACTTTCTGCGTTGTTTCAGGACCAGTACTCCCCTCTCCCATACCCAGCCCCATGTCAGTACAACTCTTAAAAATGGGGGAATAGGGACAGGGAGGAAGGTCATGAGGAGGGAAGGAAAAGTTTAATTTTAAGGTTAGTTGTAGAATGATTAAATTTTTTAGATTATGGCTAAGTAAAATGAAAGTACCTAAAAAATGTAAGGTAACTTCTTGGTCACATGGGACCACATCACTTAGGACAGTTGAAATACTTAGTGGAATGTGCAGAGAATCATGCAAATGTGAGCAGTGGTGCAATTTGGAACAGAGAACTGGTGTCCCAAGAGATTGTTGTTAGAGGACGCTGCTCAATTTTGATAGGTTATGATTCTGATAAGCTTTTAAAATTTTCTAGAATTTCGTGCATTTCCAAAGTATATGACCTATTGTCAGTTAGCTGAGTTTTGGTCCACATGATTCTAGGTGTGTAATAAATAGCATCCTCTTTGGTTTCATTTTCTCAAAGGTTGTGTGGCTATTCTAAAAGAATTTAAAAAAAGCTTATTGTTTGTTGTGTGGATCATTTGGAGTTTATGAAGAAGGTGAATTAGATGTTATGGAATGGTAGGAGCCATAGAGAAAATGCTTCCTTTAATTTTCAGCCCTATAATATGAATATGTGGTTAAAAACACCGCACAACATCCAATTCACATTCTTTTCCTAGACTGTAGAGACATATAATGTACTGGTGGCTTAATATCTTCACCCAGATTTCCCAAAGACTGAAAAATCTCTACAAGGTATAAAAATCAAACTCATGAGTTTTCTCTCCCTTCCCAAAATTATCCTAATATTCTTATCCTAATATTCTAATCCTGACAGCACCCTTGAGAGCATTTTTTTTAATCTGTCTTGGTCTACCCTTTTGCTACATACATACATGTATATACATACATTCACACATTTTTGTGTGGGTACCATTACACAGAGACACAAATCTCATAGGTCATTTTTGTCACCATATCAATTGAAATAAAACTTAATAACTGATTACATCACTCCTCAAAATAAAAAATTTTTACTACCTTCCATAGCGGCAGATAAAGTTCAAAGCAAACTGTTTAGCTTGGCCTATAGGACTGCTCATGATGTGATCCTGTTGTAGAGCAACCCCGATACAAAACGGGGTGCCTGACTGTGGGTCCTCACCTGCGCTCTTAAAAGGACTTATCAATGCTCTACTGCAGGCACACGCGAAAGGTTAATAAAAGGTTTATTTACAAGGGAAGGGGAAATGAGGAAATGTACAGCTCAGGGAGAAAAGTGGGAGACAAAGTTTTAAATGAGTCCTACCCGATCCGCCGATCAGGAATCCCAAAATGGCGCTCTGAGAGCTGGCCGCCAGCCAGGAGCGGTGAAGCCAGGAGGCAAGCGATAGCGAGCCCCCCAAGGCCCACGTGTTTGGTTTTTTATATCCAACCTGGCTGCCCAACTCCACCCTCAGGTCCCAGCCACCTTCCCTTTGGTGGTGATGGGATTTGCCTTTCCCAATGTCTTGATGGCTTTAGTCTGGAGTGGGGGCGGGGTCCACAAAGCCTGTATGGGATTAACTCAGGACATCATTTCCCCCTAACAATCCTTTTCTTACTCTCCAGCCTCATATCTTACCTTTTTTTTTAAAAAAAGATTTATTTGTGTATGAGTACAAGAGCTGGGGTACAGGCCAGAGGTGGAGGGGGGTGAGAGAATTCACCAGAGTCAGAGTGGGGAACAGAAGAAGCTGATCTACTGAAACACACTGCTGAGGGGATCAGGGGGCAAGTCAGGAAAGGTCCGCTGCCTTGTGGGTAGCTCCCTGGCTGGAGATCAAACTCGTGCTGCAGTGACTGAGGGTAGCTTCATAGGTTGCATCTTAGCCCCTTGTGCCACCAGGGAGGCCCTCATAGCTTACCATTCTTATACTCCTTTACATTTTCACCATCTTTCCATTTTACCTAAGTGACTTTCCAGATGGAGCAGCTCTACTCACCTGTATGCCTTAGTTCCTATTGGAACTTTTGTCTGGAATGCTTTCTCTTTAATCCACCTGAAATTCCTATTTTTTCAAACCTCTTTAAGGTTTAGTCCTGTCTAGTTCTCCTAGCCAGACTAAGATAGTGCCTATATTTGCGCATACTTGGTCAATATTTATGTTGTAATTGCTTTCATGTCTTTTTCAGTCTGTTCTGAGCTTTGTGAGCTTTTTGAAGGCAAGAAGCAGGTCTTAGGCATTCTTCTGGCTCCATAACTCAGACATTCTTTAAATGTGGAATGGATACCTTTCCAAGGTTTTTCTGGGCAGAAACATTGTTGTGGTTTTTTTTTTAAGATTTATTTTTATTTATGCATATAAGAACTGGGGTGTAGGCCAGAGGTGTGAGGGCGGGGGTGGATGGAGGGGCCGTGGTGGTGTGGGGGAGTGAAAGGATTCACCAGAGACAGAGTAGGGAGCAAAACAGGTGGATCTACTGAGATGCACTGCTGAGGGGGGCAGTGGGCGAGACAGGAGAGGTCTACTGCGCCTTGTGGGTTAACTCTCTGGCCACAGCTTGATAGTACTGAGATTTTAACCCCTGCGCCACCAGGGAGGCACAGAATCATTCATGTTTAAACTTTTAAGTGCCTTTATTGGAACAGGAAGAGGCATTTGGGGAATGTGACACTGGGTTCACTTCCTCATTATATCACTCAGCATATCACTTCCTCAGTGAAGCCTCTTCTGCATTTTACCAGTGCTTTTGAGATTGATGATCTCAAGGTGTTTGCTTTCCCAAGAGAAATAGATGCACAAAGAGATGTAAAAGATCCTGTTAGCTGAAGTTTTGTTTCCAAACCCCAATGTCAGCTGGTCTGGTCAATGAGTGAACTAGCCTGGTCATGTGAAGAGTGCTAATACCTAGGTTCCTAGTACCTAAAACTTGGACCCAGAGTGACATGTGACCTCCATTAAAAAGAACAAGAACAGGCATGCAGGTGCCAACCCCCTTCCCTTTCCTGGCACATCTTATCTCACCATGGTAGCAGAGTTCCACTGAATAACCTTGTAAAGAGATAAGAATAGAGTTGAAATGGAAAAAGTTTTCTCTCTAGCCATGTGGTAGCAAAAGATGGAGTATCAGGAGTGCCAGACTGTGCTCAAGCTTTAGTTGCCAGGCAGTACATTGAAACTTGACTATTCCATAGCAATGATAATTTCTCTTTGGGAGCCAGGGAGCCATGCCACCATAAGACCAATTAACATAACATAACAAGGCCTGTTTTTTTTTTTTTTGAAGATTTATTTATGCATATAAGAACTGGGGTATAAGCCAGAGGTGGGGGCGGGGAGAGAATTCACCAGAGAGAGTGGGGAGCAGAACAATCAGAGCTACTGAAATACACTGTTGAGGGGAGCAGCAGGCAAGACAGGAGTGGGCTGCTGTGCCATGTGGTTAGCTCCCTGGCCGGCTGGGGATCGAACTTGTGCTACAGTGGCTGAGGATAGCTTGACAGCACTGTCTTTAACCCTTGTGCCACCAGGGAGACCCCCAACCAGGGAAAAACACTGAGAAGGCCTTATATTTTAATTCATTTCTGACCATAACTTGTGAGCTGGGAAAGAGGGAAGGTTGAAAAGGAAAGGAAGGAGAATTATGTGAAGGAATTATTGACTCTCATTTGACAAATGTAAACATTGAGGCAGAATAAGTGACTTGTTAAAGAATTTATAGCTACAAAATGTCAGTCATAATTTTAATGGAGCTCTAATTCCAGAATCCACATTCTTTTTCATTAAGCATTCATAATATGTTATTTCAGGAAAAATATATTATGAAAATACTAGACTAATCTCACTTTGTTTTTGGCTACGTGACTTTAGTTTTCACATGATATGTGCCTTTGTGGTTTATGAACTAATAAAATCAACATGTTTGACTGCTCAGCCAAATATTGTTTCTTTAACTATATTTTTACCGTAATTTTGACCCTTTCACACATCGCTCATAATATCCAGGTACTACTGGGTGTTTATTTTCTTCTGTTGAACTGAGCTGAGTGGGGAAAGAGGCAGAGAAAATATGATCAGGATATGGAATGACATAAAATCTGGCCTCTGCTGCTTGTTCATTATCTGGCTAGCTGATGAGGAATGAAGGAAAAACAATCTCCTTGGCATTTTTGATTGCTGGCAACAACCAAAGTAATTAACTTCTATGATTTCACTTATATCTGATAATATTAATTTACAAGGATTATATTTTTATGTAGCTTTAAACCAGGGGTTTTCATTCCTTCTGCCATGGGCCCCTTAGGTGGATGGGACATAAATAGATTGAATGGCCTTTGGTATTGGCCTCTTCCACCAAAATAACTCTGTTGTCTGTTTTACATATTGAGGCTTTCATTAAGCTCTTCTTTGAACAAAGATTTTATCTTACTACCAAATAAGTTTAAAAAACCATTGTCCTTAACTATTACCTTTGAAATAGATTTGTTTTGGGATGATAGTAAAATTCAATTAAATTGATAATGGAGTATTTACCATGTGGTGAACCTTGAAAGAACTGTAGTAAAGTAGACTGTTTAGCAGGAAAGATAGGTGTTAAGTAATTAAAAGTGAGGTAAACTTTTTAAAAGACAAAATGCAGGTTTTCAGGGCTTTTGGCAGTATGACAAGGGGATTCTACTTGGTCTCTATGGCTATGGTTTCCAAGCCTTACCAACCATTACAATAACTTTTTTTCCCCCAACTTAGGAACCCCAGATTAAAATGAAATTTTTGGGGGCCTCCCCGGTGGCACAGGGGCTTGAGCACAGAGCTGTGAAGCTGTCTGCAGCCTCTGCAGTGCTGATTCAGTCCCAGCCGGCTGGGGATTGAATTTCCTCCTGGGAGATTCCCACCTGGCTCAGCAGACCTCTCCTGACTCACCCGCTGCTCCCCCTAGCAGTGCATTTCAGTCAGTCTGCCTGTTCTGTTTCCCACTCTGTCTTTGGTGAATCCTCTCACCCTCCTGCACATCTGACCTGTACCCCAGTGCTTGTATAAATAAATAAATCTTTAAAAAACATAAATACAAGAAAATGAAATTTTTGCAAATGTCCTGACACATACTAACCTGTTTGGTTGTATGTGTGTGGGAGTTGCTTCTCAATTAACCTCTCCCTATAACATGCCAACCTATGCCTCCACTTACTTTTGTTGTTTACCTTTCATACCCAATTCCTACAGCCTTTCAGATGTCAATACCTGATCCATTTTCTTTTTTTCTAAAGATTTATTTATTTATGCATACAAGAACTGGGGTACAGGCCAGAGGTGTGGGGGGTGAGAGGATTCACCAGAGACAGAGTGGGTAGCAGAACAGGCAGACTAACCGAAATACGCTGCTGGGGGGAGCAGCCAGCAAGACAGAAGAGGTCTGCTACGCCATGTGGGTTACTCCCTGGCCACCCGGGGATTGAACTCCTGCTGCAGAGGCTGCGGATAGCTTCACGGTGCTGTGCTTAACCCCTTGCGCCACCAGGAAGCCCTGATCTATTTTCTGTCTGTTCTTAGTTATGCACCTAGAGCATACATAACTCTAATGGCATGTATTGAACTTATGTCAGTTAGTTTTCAAGCAGAGTTTGGGAGGACCTTGGGCTACCTGGCTTTGCTATCCTAATCCTGTATCCTGACTTTTTTTTTTCCAGCACCTAAAGCTTCAGGTGAGAGGGGCTAGGATCAAAGGATTGGTCTTTGAGAGCCAATAGGGAAGGAAGGGGTACAGATACAGATAGGATTTAGATTGTGATAGGCTTTGAACAGTCATTTATCATGGAAACATAAGTCTGTTCCATTCACTGAAAGAGGTAGAAAAGAGATAAGAAGTGAGTAAATCAGTGTGAAAAATTAGAATGTTTGTTGGAGAGAATTGGCTGGTTACCTTTCTAGAGAAATAAAGGAACATTGGGTAGCACTATAGCCCAATGGAGGTTGCTGATAATAATCTATAGTAGCCTCAATGTGTCTGCCTCAGTGACTGTTTTACTCCCTTCAGTAATGCTCAACCTTTGGGTATGAGATACTAAATCAGAATGGTTTGCTTGGGTCAGCTAGAACTGAATTTTTCTAGCGAGGTATGCAAGACGCATTCCTACGTGTCAAGCGCGTAGAATATAGAGGGAAGTGAATATAGGTGAAAGTGGAGTGAAAGAAATTGTGGGGTCAGTGGATTGAAGATTTTAATTAAGCTGAAGAATTATTAAAAATAAAAATTCAGTTAGGGCATTGGAGATTCAGTGACCACTTGGGACAGTCCCATTAAGTTTTTGAGATAATGGGTGGAAAGTCCCAAGAAAGTGAGAATATGAGGGTTTGTTGTCCAAGAGCATGAGTGCCAGAGGGCATATTTTTGATAATATAGATATTTTAACAAGATAGAGTTGGGCTGCTTGTGTTGGAACACCAGCTCTTTCATTTACTTGTGGTGTAACCTTGGACACATTATGCAGTCAACCACATCTTAGTTTCTTCCTCTGGAAAATGGGGATAGAAATAGTATTTATCTCATAGTGTTGTTTTGAGCATTACATGAATATTTAAGTGCTGCCACATAGGAAGCATGCATAAGTACTTACTAAATAAAAAGTGTCTTTATGAGACTCCCCTATATGTTTAATATATAGCTCTTCTGATGCCTACCTCCTATTACCTTTATCTACCCTATGTAATTATTTCTATTTTCCCATAATTAAATTTTTAGCATATGCTCACTTAAATTAGTATTCTCTGTGTTTTGTTAAAATCTGAACTTTTTCATTAGTTTGTTAAGTCTGTGCTGATTGTTTGGAAAAGTATATTTTAAATGTCTCTCATAAAATTTTATTTCAGCTGTTAAACGTTTAATGAAAGAAGCAGCAGAATTGAAAGATCCAACAGATCATTACCATGCGCAGCCTTTAGAGGTTAGTTTCTATCTCTATATTCTATATATGAATCTTCATTTTTTAAACAAATTCCTTAAAATTGTTTTTTCACTGCTGTGTGTCATTACAGATGTGTTTGGTATGTTTTACTCCCTGTGTATCCTGAGTATTTCAGTAGACTTTTAAAATCAGACAATTTAGAAAAAGCAGATTTTTGGTCTCTATAAAATACACCTCAGATGCTAAATTAGTTTTAGGTCTTGATTATGAAAAGTGTGAGTGGAAAGAACTCCAGATTTTTACAGTGGAAAAACCAGCATCTTGAGGTGTCATTGCAGCTAGTTTGGGCTTTTTGCACTAGCATCATCTCCACCTTTCTTCTGTTTTCTCATCTGTAAAAGGAGGGTATTTAAATGTACTTGGTCTGGTTTTCATATTAATAGTGATAAGGAAGTAAAATAATATATGCTCAAGTATTTTGCAAACTGTGAAGTACTTGGTAACTCTAAGATGATGTTAATAGTAGTATTTATATTACTGACCACTTGTAAGTAATCTCTTATACATCTGTTAGGGATAATTTTTTAAAGTTTGTTAAAATAATCCAGATTCTTAGTATTTCTTATATAATCTTATTTGATTACATAATAATATCACTAATTGGTATTCAAGAATTAATTTCCAGTTTCATTAAATATGCAGTCTTATTATGAATGTAAAATAATATGCAGACTTTTAAAATGCATTTGTTTAAAAAAGACTAGCTTTTATGGGACACAAAGATTCGTTGTTGTTTTTTTTAATCATTTTTTTTTTTTAAAGATTTATTTATTTTATTTCTACAAGCACTGGGTACAGTCAGAAGCATGGGAGGGTGAGAGAATTCACCAGAGCCAGCGCGGGGAGCAGAGCAGGCAGAAGGACCGAAGTACACTGCTGAGGGGAGCAGTGGGCGGCAGGAGAGGTCTGCGTGCCATGAGGGACCCTCCTCCGGTGGCCGGGGAGCAGCCGGGGATTAGTTTTCATTTATAGCTTTTGTACTTTTATAGTGTTTTATGCCTTAGAAACTGTTCAAGTCATAATAGAAAACATTTAATTTTTCTCAACTGTAATAGTAATATTTCTAATACTGATAAAACTGGTCGAACGTTTTAATGCTATTGATTTGCTCGTTATTGTTTTTGTTCAGGATAACCTTTTTGAATGGCACTTCACAGTTAGAGGACCCCCAGACTCTGATTTTGATGGAGGAGTTTATCATGGACGAATAGTACTACCACCAGAGTATCCCATGAAACCACCAAGCATTATTCTCCTAACGGTAAGAATTCTTGCCATTTTGGAATGCTCTTGATTTAAGTCTCCATGGTGGCTACAGAGTATAGTCAGTGTATTCATTGTCATTAAGAAATAAAGTAGACATTATTATATTTTTGCCTTTGGGCACCAGGCCTGGGCCTAAATATTTTTCCCATAAAAATAGTTCTTGGGGCCTCCCTGGTGATGCAGGGGGTTAAGTGTCAGCACTATGAAGCTGTCCGTAGCCACTGCAGCGTGAGTTCCATCCTTGGCCAGGAAGCTAGCCCACTTGGCACAGCAGACCTCTCCTGTCTCACACACTGCTCCCCTCACCAGTGTATTTCAGTAGATCTGCCTGTTCTGCTCCCTACTCTGTCTCTGGTAAATCCTCTCATACCCCCACCTCTGGGGGTGCACCTCCCACCTCTGGCCTGCACCCCAGCTCTTGTATGCATAAATAAATAAATATAATAATTTTTATGAAGTTGAAGCTTCTGAGAAGTACTACTAGTTCTAAAAAATAATTTCCATGTGTAATTTCCATAATGTGGTTGGACGGATTCAGTGAATATGCAGAAGGCTAGGCACAATGTCCTGGCACGCAGTAAATGCTCAGTAAAGGACAGTTAATATTGTTATATCTCTTAATGAAAATACCTCAACTTCCCACTTTTCTTCAGTTCTGTTTCTCATCTCTATGTAGTGGTCTGAGAGTAAGAACTGACAGAGTCTTCAATAAATGTTAGCTATGTTGTTACTGTTTGTCTTAGAATTTCTCTCCATCTTCACATATTTTATCTCCATGTGAAGGAAAACTATTGATCCAGTTTTGTCTTTCCTGGGACATTGGTCCATCAATAAATCATCTCTTGTTAAGCTTCTCTTTTTTCCTTTAATGACCTAAACTTGAAAAAACAAATGAAACCGGACCTCCCTTGTGGTGCAAGGGATTAAGCACCACACTATGAAGCAATCCACAGCCTCTACAACACAAGTTCAATCCCCGGCCAGCCAGGGAGCTACCCATATGGTGAGGAGGACCTCTGCTGTCTCGCCCGCTGCTCCCCTCAGCAGTGTATTTCAGTTCGTCTGCCTGTTCTGTTCTCCACTCTGTCTCTGGTGGATCCTCTCACCCCCCACACTTCTGGCCTGTACCCCAGTTCTTGTATGCATAAATAAATAAATCTTTAAAAAAAAAATGAAACCAAAATAAAAACCTTTGTAATCTGTGCCACCACTTCAAATTGTTGCCCTATTTTTCTCTATAACTTTAAAAGCATCTATATTCTAGATTAACCTGTCATAGTTTGCTTTCTATGTATAGAACACTGTTGAAAATGTTTATTTTACCAGTTTTGGAGACCAGTTTCAGAAAAATGGCTCCTCTCAGTCTTTATCCTGTTCAGTCTGAGTTAAATATCTGATACATATGGGGTAGTAAATGGTGAAGCAAAAGATACGCATCAATAAATACCAAATTAATGTTGCTTTTACATATATTTGGTATAGTGGAAAGAACATTAGTTTTAGAACCAATAAACCTGGATTCTGACTAGTGCTCTTTCCATTATTCTGAAAACAGTTTATATAATCTCTTTGAAATGCAGTTTTCTTATCTGTCAAGAGATATGTATGATAAATATAATAATCATTATAAAGTTCCTGGCGTACAGTCAGAGGCGCGGGAGGTAGAGTGAATTCACCAGAGCCAAAGCAGGAAGCAGAGCAGGCAGAAGGACCGAAGTACACTGCTGAGGGGAGCAGCGGGCGGCAGGAGAGGTCTTCGCACCATGTGGGACCCTCCTCTCCTGGCCAGGGATCAAACCAGTGCTGCAGAGGCTGCGGGCAGCTTCGCAAGCCAGCGCTCAACTGCTGCGCCACCGGGGAGGCCCATATATAGAAGCTTCTTATAAAATATTAGGGGATGTTGAGAATTGTTCAAATTGTCAGTATAGTTGCTCCTGGGAGTGCCCCATTGTATCAGGAATCATTAGTTACTAGATCATCAGGAGAGACAAGTAGTCTGGGAGGAGGAGCTGGTACATGAGAAACTGGTAAGGAAACTGGTAAGGGTAGTTGGGGGAGCAGCTATTTACCAATCAGTATAGACATTTTTTAATAGTTCACCAAAGGTATAATTATAGCACACTGGCTAAGAATCAGCCCTGTCCTCCTAAGAAAGGGAACAATTTTCCCTTTCTTCACTTCTCTCTTCAGAAAAGTGTTCTCTAACCTTCATTTGACAAATAGTTATTAAACACATGTCATGTGCAATGAGAGAACAAGTCAAATTCTCTGCCGATGTGGAACTTTTATTCTGACATCATGTCTCTTCCTTTCCCGTCCATATAAATATGGAGCATCTACAATTCAGACTTGTTTTTTCTTATTTCCATGAAGTGGCTTTAGTGATCATCTCTGTTGAATTCAGGTTCCAATAATGTGTATTTTTTTTCTGACATCAACATCATCAATAGGTCTTACACCAGGACAACAGATCCATGCCCAAAACTGTAATCATTATTTCTGATCTCCCTTTCCTATGTTTCTATTGTATGAAATTGCTTCATCCTTCTGAAAATCTCTTCTGTCTCAGAGCCTTTTTCTCTATTCTTTTCCTTACTGATACTTAGTTAGGTGATGCTAAATCCTTAGGTTTTTATCCTAGTCTCTGCACATCTTCTCTTTTAGATGCTTCACAGAGCTTAGCTCTGTACTAGGCACAGAGGAGGACATCATGACCTCCTTATATGTCAGTTATTTAGGTCTCAAAAAGGTGCTACAACAACATATAAAAATAGCTTTTATTATTAATTCAGAATCTAGCAGAGTATTTCTTAAGGACAAAAATCTATGTCCCATTAGAGATTATTTCCTTTTAAATTCTTTTTTTTTTCCCCAAGATTTATTTTTTTGTAGAAGAACTGGGGTATAGGCCAGAGGTGTAGGGGGTGAGAGGATTCACCAGAGACAGAGCAGGGAGCAGAACAGGCCATTTAACTGAAATACACTGCTAAGGGGAGCAGCAGTGAAACAGGAGAGGTCTGCTTCACCATATGTGGGTTAGCTCCCTGGCCAGTATTGAACTGAGGCTGCTGCCATGATGGGCTGTAGCAATAACCCCTAGGCCACCAGGGAGGCCCCATCCTTTTAAATTCTTTAAAAATTATCTTTGAAAGTTATTATATGTAAATCTATAGAATATACATTTAGAGTATAAAAAATTAAACACACTTGTTAAATGCTTTATTTTTTAAAAAGCCTTTCTTATTAACTTTTTAAATGCATTATTTATTCCTAAGGCTAATGGTCGATTTGAAGTAGGTAAGAAAATCTGTTTGAGCATCTCAGGACATCATCCTGAAACTTGGCAGCCTTCATGGAGTAGTAAGTATTTTCTTTTTTTTTTTTTTAAAGATTTATTTATTTATTTATACAAGCACTGGGTACAGTCAGAAGCGCGGGAGGATGAGAGAATTCACCAGAGTGGGGAGCAGAGCAGGCAGAAGGACCGAAGTACACTGCTGAGGGGAACAGCGGGCAGCAGGAGAGGTCTGCACGCCATGCGGGACCCTCCTCTGGTGGCCGGGGAGCAGCCGGGGATCGAACCAGCGCCGCAGAGTCTTCAGGCAGCTTCACAACCCAGTGCTCAGCTGCTGCGCCACCGGGGAGGCCCTATTTTTTTAAAGTGAATATAAATCTTAGATAACTTGAATAAATTCATAAAGTATAATGCCCTCTTGAGATTGAAGCTGTTTTGAGAAAATAATTTGATATTATTAAATAAATAAATTTGATATTATTAAATAAAAATGCCTTTCCTTATCTAGGTTTTTACAGTTGTTTTAATGTAAGTCCTTTACTGATATGTCTTTCATGAAAGCCTACAACTCTTTCTTTCTAGAGTAAAACCTTACCTTTTACAAAGCAACTTAGATTGATGTTTACTTTTTTATTTCAGTAAGAACAGCATTATTAGCCATTATTGGGTTTATGCCAACAAAAGGAGAAGGAGCCATAGGTTCTCTAGATTACACACCTGAGGAAAGAAGAGCACTTGCCAAAAAGTAAGTTTTGCATTTCATTTTTTTTTTTTTTTTTTGAAGATTTATTTATTTATTTATTTGTAGAAGAACAGGTATAGATCAGAGGTGCAGGGTGTGAAGAAGATTCACCAGAGACAGAGTGGGAAGCAGAACAGTCAGAGTTACTGAAATACGGTTCTGAGGGGAGCAGTGTGTGAGACAGGAGAGGTCTGCTGCACCAGATATGGATTACTTCCCTGGCCATGGTTTGAACTCAGGCCTTAGTGGTGATAGTGCTGAGACTTAACCCCTACAGCACCAGGAAGTCACTTGTTTTTCATTCTTTATGATTCAAGTACTATCTGGATGATTGCTATTAAGAGATAGGCTCTCTCTCTTTGTGAGTTACATTGGCATAGGAGCTAGTCTTAGTTTTTCTATTTCAGAGATTTAGGGCTGTTCCAGTTTCCCTGTGGTGACCAGAATCTGAAAAATTGATCGCATGCTACCTAATTTTGAAAAGTAGTTATAATAATTTTTTTATAGCCTAACATGTATATTTGTTTCAGAAATACAGTTTTTACCGCAGTTGTTCAGTTTATATGTAGAGGAATGTTTCTTTTAAAGCTAAATTTAATTATTCATTACTTGTGTGTCTTGAATTAATATTCAAGTATTTGATTATACCCACCAATAATTTTTTCTCCCAGATCACAAGATTTCTGTTGTGAGGGATGTGGCTCCACCATGAAAGATGTCCTGTTGCCTTTAAAATCTGGAAGTGATTCAAGCCAAGCTGACCAAGAAGCCAAGGAACTAGCTAGACAAATCAGTTTTAAGGTACTCTACATTCATAAATTCTAATTATATAACCCTTTCTTTTAGCAACCAAATTCTGGATGGAAAGTAAAGCTCTATACTTTATGGCAATAAATTTTTACAGGTAAGTTTTCTTAATACAGAAGTAATAAACATTTGCAAGGGTATGATAACAATAGTTAAAAGCTTGGACTCTAGGGCTTCCCTGGTGGTACAAGGAGTTAAGTCTCAGCACTGTCAAGCTGTCGCGAGCCACTGCAGCACGAGTTTAATTCCAGGCCAGGGAGCACAGCAGACCTCTCCTGTCTTGCTATTACTTTCCTCAGCAATGTATTTCAGTAGATCTACCTGTTCTGCTCCCCTCTGTCTTTGGTGACTCCTCTCACCCCCCGTACTTCTAGCCTGTACCCCAGTTCTTGTATGCATACATAAATAAATCTTTAAAAAAGGAGAAAATGACATGCATAATCACATCCCCAAGATATGATTGCTGCTAATAATTTTGGCATAGCTCCCTTATATCTTCTTTTTTCTGCATATATGTTGTACCCAAACAAATAATTACTTCTGGAATTTAATTAGCTCCACAAAAGTTGTCAACCTGCATTAAGCAACATGCTTCCCACAACCCTCTTTTCCATCTCTTTATATCCTATCAGTCTTCCAGATCTAGTTCATGGACAGATTTTTCCTTCTATTTTATTGTGGAGTCTAGAAGAGGAGGTGTGTGGTAAACGTTGATTGCTTTCTTCCAAATTCCAATTCCCATTGTGCTTAAAATTGCTTCTCTGAAACTCTTAGTGCCAGATGTGTGTGTGTGTTTTTTTTTTTTTTTTAAGATTTATTTATTTATTTATACAAGCACTGGGTACAGTCAGAAGCGCGGGAGGGTGAGAGAATTCACCAGAGCCAGAGCAGGGAACAGAACAGGCAGACTGACGAAATACACTGCTGAGGGGAGCAGTGGGCGCGGCTTGAGAGGTCTGTCACGCCATGTGGGACCCTTGCTTGTGGTTGGGGATCAAACCAGCGCTGCAGAGGCTAACGGGCAGCTTCGTAGTCCTGCGCTCAACCGCTGCGCCACCAGGGGAGGCCCACCAGATGTGTTTTGTACAGCAAAATTTCAGATTTTTGAAAGCATCAAATGTAAATTATTTATTAATACTTATAGTGGGTTAGCAGCACTCCATAATTAAATCCATTGCTATTTCCTAAGCAAACCTGGGAGTAGATACACTAATATGGAGTAAAAACTGTTAATAGCCTCAACTGTTTTTTGCTGAAAATTGCAAAAAATATTACTTTTTAGAACTTTTTGCAATTGTGGATTATAACTATGATGTTAGTTTTGTCCATCCCCAGGTAACAGCTCCTTGAGAACAGGAATTGTCAATGCCTCTTCCTATAACACCTAGCACAGAGTTGAACACATGATTGAGAGTTGATATTAAAGTAGCAATTAAATCTAATAGAGGAATTTAGTATTATGGTGAGTTATTCTATACATTTCCTACTGTGACACTGCTTTTGGATATATCTTTTATAGGCAGAAGTCAATTCATCTGCCAAGACTATCGCTGAGTCGGACTTAAACCACTCTTTTTCACTAAGTGATTTACAGGACAATATACCTACAACGTTACAGGGTGCTACAGCCAGCACATCGGTATGGCTTTTGTCTTTTACATATGTCTGTATTAATTATTTTTTACAGTAAGAGGGAGAGATCCCTAGATGAAATATCTGAATATTTTGATTCTCTTTACAGCTGGATTCTAGCCCCGCTCTCCCTCTAATGAATTATATAATCCTAAGTAATTTACACATACTTTCTGGGTCTTCTTTTGTTAGATGGAGCTGAACTAAATAAGTTTTAGGCCTTATTATTCCTCCAGAAATCTATGATTTCTCTGAAAAGTTAATTTTAATATTGTGCTAGATTCTGAATAAAACAAAGTATAAACAAAGTATATGTACAAAATAAAACAAAGTATACATATATGAGACAGTTTCTAAATAGGCACTCTATTTTTATCAGATTTGTTAAACTGCATCAAAGCACAGAATTAGTAAAGATCTGGAGCCAGCTTTACTCTAGACCTGCTCTGTCCTATACAGTAGCCACTAGCCACATCTAGCTATCTAAATTTATATTTTTTATTCAAAATTATATTGGCCACTTTTCAGGTAACTTATAATCACATATGGTGGTTACCATATTGGACAGTATAAACATTAAACATTATCACAATGGAAAGTTTTATTGGACATTGCTGTTTTGCACGTAGTAAGTGTCCCAATAATTATTGAATGAAAGAATAAATGTGTTGTTAGTTGTACCTTGATTTATTGTTTACATATTGGTCAACCTAAGACATCAGAGAGATTGATTAAGAAGTAATGGGATCATTGCTAAATAATTAGGATTATGGGGGAAAACTTTAATTTCCCTTTCTATGTATAGAATATGAACTTTCTTTTGGGGTTTTTTGAATAGCAGATTGGTTTGTAGGCAATCACTCCACCCCACCCTGACACCTTGCGAATTTATAAAGGATTTTAAGGGTCAGGAAATTGAAATAGAAGTTTGACAAATACAGACTTACCTTTTACTCAGGATACCTACTATAAAGTGGGGCTGAAGTGACCCTTTCTAATTCAGAGTGAGATAGGCAGAGAGAATTAGTTTGGAGAAAGCAGGGGAGAAGGTGCTCTGAAGGAAGTACTTGGAGGACTAGAGATAGAGGTTATAATAAAAAGTATTTGCTGAAAGTTAAATCACTTTCACATGATCACCATGAGATTTTATAAATTGCAGAGGGATGTAATGAAGTAATTTTAGTGGAGCATATATTTTTGTTTGAAGTCTTAAAAAAGTTTCAAATAAGTTTTCATCTCGAGTTCTTTTTTTCATATGTAGTTTTTTTTTTTTTAAATAAGAGCATTCTATTTCAGAGAGGGGGGTGGTAATCTTTTTTTTAATATGTAAGGACAGTCTGTTAATATTTGTGAAAGATTTAAATTTGTCTTTAGTCTATCTTAAATCTAAGTAAGGTTCCCCTGTTACAGATTCCAGTTGTAGTTTATTTTACTATTATTTATTTTCTGTCTCACATTCCAGAATTTAAGTTCTTTGAAGATCAGTGTTCTTTAGTTCTCCACTGTATCCCAGTGCTTGGCACCATGCCTTGATTTTATTTTATTTTATTTTATTATTATTATTTTTAAAGATTTATTTATTTATGCATACAAGAACTGGGGTACAGGCCAGAGATGCAGGGGGTGAGAGGATTCACCAGAGACAGAGTGGGGAACAGAACAGGCAGATTGACCGAAGTACACTGCTAAGGGGAGCAGCAGGAGAGTCAGGAGAGGTCTGCTGCGCCATGTGGGTTGTTCCCTGGCCAGCCGGATATCGAACTGGTGCTGCAGAGGCTGTGGATTGTTTCATAGTGCGGTGCTTAAACCCTTGCGCCACCAGGGAGGCCCCATGCCTTGATTTTAGTGGGTAGTCAGTACATATTTGTTGATTGAATAAATGACTTTCAGGATTGGCACTTTTAAAAAACACTAGGAATATAAAGAAATTGAATTTATATAAATTAGACTGTACAAGCAAGAATGTTATGGTAGTATTTTCCATTCTGATTTTAAAGTACCTAAAACTTAGAAGTGTTTTTCATAGATACAGATAATTAATTGATGCCAGTACTGGTTAAAACACTGACAAGCAAGGAATTGTCTATAATTGCAAGCTAAGCTTTTAATTACATATACATACAAATTATCTCAGAGTGATTCTGTAAGTTGATCATTATGGAAGTAACTGAGACCTGTTTTTGGCTGAGATGGCTGCTTTACATGCAAGTGTAATATAAATTCTCTGAGATATTGTACATTAAATCCCAGATAAGCTATGTTTTTTTAGCCTTGAGGGGGCAGATGATCCCCCAGAGTCTAAATATAGGAGATAACATTAGGCCATCTGTTGCTTTTTGAGGCAGGTATTTCAACTATGTACAAATAGGAAAAATGTTGATGGTAGTTTTATCTTCTTCCAGTCTAACAGATTTTTTTTTCCCCAGAGATTGAGGTTCTGAATAAACCATTCCATAAAAAGCACAAAACTCCCTCATAGATGCTGGTTATTTCAGGTTGTTACAGAAAAATTTATATGTATTCTAAGGGACTTAATTTGTGACTGTAGATTTTTGCTTTATATAAATAAATTGCATTTAAATCTTAAATACCTTTGTCTTCTAGAAATGGTTGCTTCATCTTTATTAAGGAATTGAAACTATTATGACTTAAGTATTCTTTCTATAGTTTGTGTGTTTGAACAAGTTTAGGCAAACACCAAAGGTTTAGAAGTTCTGTCGCCAAACCTACAGCATTTTGAAAATGCTAAAGGCAACTCACTTTGCCACCTGGCAATGCCATATGAACTACCAAAATTTAGTGCAATTAGTCTTTAACTCCAAATAATTTAGGTTCTTCAGGGTCTATAATCTTGAAGTTGGTACTGTTTTCCCTTCATGTGATTCTTTTAAGTAGAAAATATTTTAGAATTTTATAATACTGTAACACTAGGTTTTAGTAATATATCCACCAAAGACACCTGAAATATAGGATCTTATTAAAAGTAGTACATCTATATAAATATTTCCATTAACTGCATATACTAAAATATCATCTAAAGTCAGTGTTTTAAGTGTTCTAAATATATGATTAATACTAATAAAGGTCTGAAAAGCTGTCTTAAGTAAAGTTACATTTTAAACCTAAATGTAATATCTCCAAAGGAATATATTAATTGTATTATTAATAACATAATAAACAATTGTATATCCTAAGCACTTTGTATCATCCCACTTAATACTCATAACCACTAAATTAGATATTATCTCTGATGTGCAGATGAGGGAGCTGAATCTTAGGTTAAATAACTTGCTTTAAGTCACAGATCTATAGAGTGGCAAAGCCAGCCTTGTAATGATAAGGCTTCTGTTTGGGGTGGGTCTGTGGACAGCATAATCTTCCTCTCAAGCTAGTGGGAAAAAGTGACATGTATAAAACAGACGCTTTAAGCTGAGTCAGTCTTATTTCCTAACTGATAGCACATCATGTTTTTTATTTTTCTTTAGAGCCCATTTCTCTATAAGTTTGAAGTACTTTCAGTCAGTTAGAACTTGTATCTTCTTTGGCTGATGGAAGAACAGGAGATCTCAAATGGAATGTTGCTATATTGGTTGCCATGACACAGTTCAACACAATGAGCATTTATTAAGTCACTGTATGACACCTGTGACAGTGTAAGACCTTATGAAATGCTGCAGCTTTGTGTATTTATTTTCTGCTTGCAGATTGGTTCCAGAAGTCCTTGAGTATACATATCTAAGTCCATGTAGCACTGACTCAGTATCAGCACTAATTTTTAACTCAAAGTGGTAGTTTCTTTCTGCCTCTGTGTTATGGATCATTACATTTGAGTACTTCTGAAGGATAGTGTTAAAGAGATTTAGATTATTTAAACCCTTTAATGTTGAGATGAATGTCAGATTTAAAATTAATTTCTTGTGCAGGAAACTAGATCAGTTTTTCCCCCAGTGTGTATAGCTGTTGGCAGCACAAAGCCCATCCTCTTACTTTTGTAAAAAAAATATTTGAATTACTTTATTCACATGATTTTTTTTCTTTCTAACTATTAAAATTTTCTCTAGTGAAAAGTATTAGTATAAAGTTGTTTTCAATAAAAGAATTAAAGACATTGAGTTATTAGAGGTAGAGTTAATGTATCTAAATAAATAAAATGGAATTTATATTTTGTCCTTTTTATTTATAAATGATATTTAAGTTTTGAATCAGTTGGTATCACACTGTAGTTTTATCTTGACCTAGTAGTCATTGAAAGGATAGAAAGAGTTGTCATTCACTCCTTTGTGGAGGGCAAGTAGGTGCCAATGTAGAGGATACATTGAGTCTCCCATAACTACCTCCCAAATTTTTCTCAGTACAAATTTTACTTTGAAAGGGTAAAGTAACACAGTTCATTCTTTGCATATGTAAAGTAACACAGTTCAAACTCACAATAAAGGGGCCTCCCCGGTGGCGCAGTGGTTGAGCGCTGGGTTGTGAAGTTGCCTGTCAGCCTCTGCAGTGCCGGTTCGATCCCCGGCTGCTCCCCAGCCACCGGAGGAGGGTCCCACATGGCGCGCAGACCTCTCCTGCCGCCCGCTGCTCCCCTCAGAAGTGTACTTCAGTCCTTCTGCCTGTTCTGCTCCCCCCTCTGGCTCTCTGGCTCTCTGGTGAATTCTCTCACCCTCCCGCGCTTCTCACTGTAGGAGCCCTTGACAATGCCGGGCCCAGCAGCAGAGTCAAAGAAGGTTGTCTACTTCACCAGATGTAATCCAGGGCCAGCAGCCAAGAGACAGCCAGTGCTTGTATAAAATAAATAAATAAATCTTAAAAAAAAAAAAAACACAATAAAGGACTCTTCTAGACTGTATTCAATTCAGTTGATGGAAATTGTGAGAAAAAGGGTAAGCCTCGTTTGAAACCACATCTAAATTTTACAGCATTACTGTGAAGAACTTAGTTTGAAATGATTTTGTATGCTCTGTGATTGTTGGTGAAGCATGTCGATAGGTAAGATAAACCTGATTCATAAAAGGCACACTTGAGAGTTGCTCTTTTTTTTGCCATTTTTAGAATGACAAATTTTCAAACAAAGTAGAAATCAAATTGCTTCTGTGCTTGGCTCTCCTGGAAGAAGGGAGGTCCCCAAATACTTAGTATATACTACTGGAGTTGCAGTGGAGGGAGGATGGAAAACCTTCTATAGAGAACATGGTCAGCTTTGTCCTTGTCTTATTTGTTGTCAGTAAATTCTCCACACAGTGAGAACCTGTGTTGCTAGTTTAATCAGAAGGGCGAATTATTAGTCTGAGCATTCAGATAAATCTTGGTAGTTTTTCCCTTAGACACATTTCGTTCTCTGAGATTCTGGTATTTTTGAATAGTTAACAGGTGTATACATACATATTTTCTTTGCCAATTTCAAACAAATTTCTTAAAATTTCCTAGTATGGAGTCCAGAACCCCTCTGCAACATCTCTTCAACAACCCGCCCAACCTGTAGCTAAGAATACCTCCATGAGCCCTCGACAACGCCGGGCCCAGCAGCAGAGTCAAAGAAGGTTGTCTACTTCACCAGATGTAATCCAGGGCCAGCAGCCAAGAGACAACCACACTGATCATGGCGGGTCAGCTGTACTGATTGTCATCTTGACTTTAGCATTGGCAGCTCTCATATTCCGACGAATATATCTGGCTAATGAGTACATATTTGACTTTGAGTTGTAATACTGTTTTATGTCTTAAGAGCTGTGACTCAACTGCTTCATTAAACATTCTGCATTGGGTGTAATTTAAGAATTGTTTACAAAAGGTTATTTTGTATTTACCCTTTATTCCTTTTTTTGATCCTTATAAATTCAGTATATAGGTAGACATTCAGACTGTCCTGCTAAGTTTAAGGAACTGCAAGTTACAGTTCCTTTCTTACAATATGACCTGCTTTATAGGGAAATAACTTATTGTTATTTCTCATTCCTCAGTTTCTTTTTATGTAAATTTGTGATATTTTTCTGTATAGCCCTTTGAAACTTTGGGGTAAAAGATGGTGTTTTAAGTTCCAGAAAGTATTACTAGTTACTCAATATCATTTATTGAGTACTCTTTCTACTTATATAGAGTGATATAGGGCTAAGAGTTAAAAAGGGAAAATAAAACCCCTCAAATTGCTTGCTATAATGCCATTCATACGAGACAAATTGTTATTGCCCACTTTGACTGACTTTGTATACTGAACACTCTTCTGTGAGAGTGACTATTTCAGTCATTCATGAGGGAATGCGATTATAGCTTTATTATTGGATGTTACTTGAAGAGGGATGATGCTTGTAACCACTTAGATATGCTATTATCCTCTTCTCTCTGATATGCACACAAGATTTTAAAAGAAAACAACCCTCCATAGATCTTTAAGGAAGGGAAGTTTAAACCAAGAAACTGCTTGATTTTCTTCCAGAAATTAAGGTTGGGAAGTTAAAGGAGAGGAGACCTAAAGATTTGAATGTTTGCTCTGCTTTGAATTGTATATATTATATGCCTAGCTTTGTAATCATTATAAATTTAATTGTTCCAGGAATTTGCTTAATGTTGAGATATTTCAAGTACCGTTTTAATAGAAAAGCTCAGGGCCCAAGTAACAGTGGTAGAAATTAGAAAAATCTTCACTTAAAATTGTTTAATCAAATTCCAAGAAAGAATTTCCAGTGCAAAATCATTATAACTTAGTGTTAGCTAGCTCCACATATAGTGGATAATTTTATCATCATAATGCCTGGTGAGAACCTGTAACCACAGAAAAGGATTGCCTTCAGCATGCTCGGTAGCAGCATTGAAGGCACTCTTGAGAGTGTTGTTAATGAAGATTTAATTTTCAAATACAGGCAGTCCCCAGCTTTCAAATAGCTTATGCTCTGAAAGTGCACTTGTATGTTAATTTTTTTTACAACTCAGAGTTGCAAGTAGTGTTTAGGTTCCAAACTAGTTCATGAAAGTTAGTCCATAATGTATATTGAATACTTGAGGGGTGGGGTTGGGTGATATTCATAAATTCCACATGTGGTTTTAATTAACTGAAATTATGGGCAAGGTAGAAACAATTTGTAAAGTGATTTTTAAAGGCAAATTTAATTTTTACTTCTGCTGTGGGACTTAAGCTCTTTTAACCATCAGATAATTTCTGTTTTTATCTGATAGCCAGTTTTCCTTTATGTCTGCATTTAAAGTTAGAACATATTGTGTACTATTATATAATCCATAGCTGTCTTAAACTTTAATTAAAATATTAAAGGTGATTATAGATTGTTCTTTTATATTTACAGCTGAAGTTGGTAAAGGCAAAAAAAAAAAAAACTCAAGGGCTTTATGAAGACCTCATATATCGGAAAATGATAGGTTACCATTTTACAACTTTATTGCCATGAAAAACTGCATTCTAAAGTCTTGGTTTTGAACCTAAGATGCTGGAAATACTGGTTCAGTGGTTATTGGTCTCCTAACTAGAGGTCACGGACCCAACTGGGAAAACCAGATAGTTTTTCACCAGAGAAAAAGGAAATCTCTGGCATGCAAACTATGCTGAGATCAATAGTATGCTAGAAACAATCTTCCCTTCACTTCCCCACATTCCCCTTCAAATTTCAGCCAGCCTCTGTAATCTATGTGATCTTGTTTCCATGAGTTGTATACCTATACTTTAAAATTAAGATTTTGCATTGTACAGATCCTTCTCTGTCTAATTTGCCTCTCCTCCCTTACCCATCAGTGTACAGGCCACCTTCTTGTATCAGGATATTTTAGCAATTGATACATGTTATCTGAAAGTGCCATATTTTGCTTCTTCCCTTTCACCTCAGGTGTGCTACCTAAAAATGCTTAAGTTGTCAATACAACTTCCATTGTGGAGTTAGTGAGCAAAATTGATCTTTGGGTCCATTCTTACTCAAATCCAACTAGGAAGGGCCTCTTCAGAAAACTTATTCTTTAAAGCCCCATGTTAAGCCCTTAATTATAGCATAAGGCCAAAACTGGATATATTATCGGAAAGATAAAATTTTAGAACTTTTTTCCATAATCCTCAGCTTTATGTAACTCGTGGTGTTTAGGCAACTGTGACCAACATCGCAAATGACTACCCATCAAGGTAGTTACAACAGCATGCTTGGAAAAACATAATGTCTGTTTCACCTGTAACTGTTTAAGCCTATGAAACTTTTAAAATTTTATGTTTTGTGAGGCTTTTATGTAGCACTTTACATTTTCATGCTGCTTATTGTTTTATTCTACTGAAATAAATGGATTTCATCAAAATTCTCAACTTAATTTTTTAAGAAACATTTAAAATAGTTTATTATTTTGAGTATGGAAATGTAAAATTTCCTGTTTCAGGAGAATAAGAAATCTTTTTGTTATTTTGGCTACGATTAAACTTTCTGGTATCTTAAGACCTCCCATTTTTATAGACCAGAATCCGTAAACAAGCAAACCTCACACATTTAGTCCAAATACTTGAGCAGAAACTTAGACTGATGTAGTGAAAAGCCTATATTGTCTTATTACTTGCAAGTAAGTATATGAAAGGTAATGCATTTAATGAATCTGACTTTTAACCAAGAATAATATGTACATTAATGTGTACTATCAAAGCCTCTTTGGGAGGATATACTTTGCTCAAACACCATTTGGAATGCCTCTTTTAACAGTTGCCTTCAGACCTAGTTTGAGCTGCTCAATAAAACCAGTGACTTTGTTCATACCTTGTTTGATTGAAGGTTGTATTCTTTATACCATCGGTTTGATCTGTCCATTCTACCTCCTTGCGTGTTCTCTCACGTCTTTCTACTTCTCTTCATGCTCACTGTCAGTACTCTAATTAGCTTTATCTCTGAATTAGTGTAATAAACTCTAACGGGTCTCCTGTCTTGTCCCATTCCTAATACTGCAGCCCAAGTCTTCTTCAACACACAAATCTGGTCCCATCTTAAGATAGAGCCAAACCCTTAATATAGGATACAAAGCTGTATGTGGCCAGAGATCCACCTAGCTCACTGGTCTAATCTGACCTCAGTAAATTCTTCTCAGAGGCCTTTCCACAGGTTTTTTTTTTTTTTTTTTTTTATAGAGGCATGTTTTCTTTGTTTGTTTGTTTGTTTTGTTTATACATGCACTGGGTACAGTCAGAAGCACGGGAGGGTGAGAGAATTCACCAGAGCCAGAGCGGGGAGCAGAGCAGGCAGAAGGACCGAAGTGCACTGCTGAGGGGAGCAGCGGGCGGCAGGAGAGGTCTGCGCGCCATGTGGGACCCTCCTCTGGTGGCCGGGGAGCAGCCGGGGATCGAACCGGCGCCGCAGAGGCCGTGGGCAGCTTCGCAACCCAGCGCTCAACCGCTGCGCCACCGGGGAGGCCCGCCTTTCCACAGCTTTAACCTTGAGTCACTGGGGCCAATCCTTGTGCTGAGAGAAAAGAACAAATGTTAAAGTTATACAACCACTGCCGCATACCACATACAAAAACTAACTCATATGTATCTAAAACGATAAGCTAGAGCAAAAATTCTATAAAATTTTTATTAGAAAAGTCATTTCTTAGATATGAGATCAAAAGCATAAGCAACAAAAGAAAAAGTAGATATGTTTCATGAAAACATACTTTTTTAAAGTAATAAAGACAACACAGAATGGGAGGAAATATTTGCAGATCATATGTCTAATAAGGGACTTGGATCCAGAATATCTTAAGTACTCATAACTCAATGAAAAATGGCAAAGAATTTGTGTAGACATTTGTACCAAGAAGATACACAAGCAGTTAATAAACATGAAATATACTTTGCACCCACTATGATGGTTAGAATTAAAAAGGTAAGTGTTGATACGGATGTGGAGAAATTGGAACCCTCATATATAGCTGTGGGAATGCAAAAGGGTGCTGCCATTTTGAAAAGTTATTTGGTAATTCTTCAAAAAGTTAACAGCGTTAACCACATGACCCAGCAATTCCAATTCCAGATATATATCCCGGAAAAATGAAAACATGTCACACAAACTTGTATGTGAATATTCATAGCATTACGATTAATAACAACAAAAAAAAACACAAATGCCCATCAGCTTATGAATGGATTTAAAAAAAGTGTATACAATGCAATATCATTTGGCAATGAAAAGAAATGAAGTTATGACATGCTACAACATGGATGACTTTTGGAAACACTATCAGACACAAACAGCTACATATTGTATGACTATTTAAATGAAATAATCCAAACTAGATAAATCCACAGAAATAGAAAATAGATTGATTGCCAGGACTGGCAGGAAGGGGGAGTGTGGAGTGAAGACTAGTGGGTTTGAGGTTTCTTTTGGGGGAGATGAAAATGTTGTAACATGAAATAGTGGTGATAGTTGTACAACTCTGAATATACTAAAAACCACACTAGAAGGGAATAACATCATAGTATGTGAATATTTCAATAAAGATGTTATTTTAAAAAATTATCGTCAACTGTGGTTTCTTCCCTACTGTAAGCATAATTACTGGACTGCTGAAAATAAGAGTTAAAAAAATCGGTAGGACTTAACGTTGCATCTAGGATGCCACAAAACAATTATTTCTTGAAAACCAATATCTAGGCACAGTTGTAAGGTTCCAGTCAGTCTTTTACAACCTATCCCAAATGAAAGGAGATCTTTTGAAAAAATATTTGGAAAAAAGGTCTTCCCCACTAAACCTTCAGCAGGAGTGTATTTTTAAACAAATTGTCTGATAATTTTGAGTGACCAGATTTGAGAATTACTGAATCGGTCCCTGTACTGAATTATTCCCACTCCCAAATTCCTATTCTAGTGCAATTTGGCTTCCTGCTATGATTAACTACGATGAACTGAAATTGAAAAACTTTCTGGTTGCCAGACCCACTAATCTCTTTTCTGCCCTCACTTCAGAGCAATGCGTGTTGATTACGCTCCTCCTTGAAACTCTCCTTTGCTTTTCATGGTCAATCTTTCTGCTAGTTCTTTTGTGCTTTTATTCTGACTGCTGATCCATCTTTTAATAGTATAGATTCTCCAGAATTCTGTGCTGGGACTTGGACCTCTGTTTCCCTGGAAGTTCTCACCCTTTTCTGTGGTTGAACTACCACCATAGACTGACAGCTCCAAATCCACTTCTTCAACCCAGACCTTTTTCCTGAGCTCCATAGTCATATTCCAGCTGCCTGTTGGGCATCTGAAGGTCTCATGGCACTTCACACTCCACAAGTCAAAATTAATCTCATCAAACTTGTCCACTTCCAATGCCTATTGGTGAATGGAGGTATCAACCACCAGACCTGCCTCCAAACTAGTATTCTACATATCCCTGTTAACTTCTCTCACTTCCTCCTCTATTGTCACCAGGGGTATTTTGCAGAAATGACTTGGCTATCTCTTTCTGTCTTCCTTATCTCTATCCCTCTCCCTTGCCCTTTGGACAGGACCTCATGGTCCTGATCCCAATTAGGAATGCCTTAAAAAAATAAAGTGGGGGGCCTCCCCGGTGGCGCAGCGGTTGAGCGCTGGGTTGCGAAGCTGCCTGCAGCCTCTGCAGCCGGTTCGATCCCCGGCTGCTCCCCGGCCACCAGAGGAGGGTCCCACATGGTGCGCAGACCTCTCCTGCCGCCCGCTGCTCCCCTCGGCAATGTCCTTCGGTCCCTCTGCCTGCTCTGCTCCCCGCTCTGGCTCTGGTGGGTTCTCTCACCCTCCCGCGCTTCTGACTGTACCCAGTGCATGTATAAACCAAACAAACAAACAAATAATAAATAAATAAGACATGCCTCTAGAAAATTTAAAAAAAAAAAAAAATAAAGTGGGTCCTGTCATAACTTTGATTCTTTCTCTGTTACGTAATAAACCCCCAGTTCTTTTTTACTTCTGCCTATCCCTCTTCCTGACCTCCATCCTCTATGTCTGTACTAAACTATTTCTAGGTATAGTAGGCAAGCAATAAGTTGCTTTTAAACATCCTATTAATTAAACATAACCACATCTTCACACTCCAAATGTTCATAATCCCGTATCATAGGATGGAAATCAAAAATAATGTATAATGTTTGACATTACACACTTTAGGATTAAAACCAAAGTTAATCTAATGCTCATCAAAAGAGTTTACATAATCACAAATTCTTTACACTTTTGTTCAAAATCAAAATGTGCTTTATGCTCTGATGTGTTTTCATTACAACTGATGAGCATTTGGGGGGAAAACAAGCATCTTTGGCTGTAGTCAAACATACTCTCGTAAAGCAACCCTATGAAAATGGGTGTTTGTGTTTACTCAGCATTTCCTGAGCACTTTACGCATTTGTCTCTATGTCCACCAAGCTTCCCTGCAAATCACTCAGTATCCAAGCTGACTTCCTGGTGGATGTGATAGATTGGTTTTATGCAAAGAGGCAGATTAATGATTTCAGCAAAAACCTGGCATGTTCAAGAGATTTTACATATATAAAAATATATATAAAATATATATAAAACAGTTTTAGCAAAAGCTGTTCTAGAACTCAGCAGAAACAGAGTTTCACAGGAAAAACTTATTGACTGATGGCCAGATCATTAAGCAGCAGGGAGGGCAAAGCCTTGATGTTCATGTCATGGTGGGGGTGGAAGGCGGGTGTGTGTGTGGGAGAGTGTGGTGGGCAGTGGTTGGGACAAACCTCAGTAGCAAATATTAAATAGGGCAAATCAGCCTGTCAGCCATGCCAGCCATGCCCTTGCAACCCATCTGGGGAGCAGCATCACGAGGTAGCAGATTGAATCTATAGTTAAGCCCTGGAGGATTTGCCCAGCTGCAGGTTACTGGAAAGCAGCTTGTGGCATCATAGACTTTCACAAAATGCTTTATTTTACAAGACTCATTTTGTTCTTATTTTGCCTGATTGTTCTCGTGGAAAGCAGAAAGCCCAAGACGAGGAGATGGACAGGGCAGCTGGAAATGCCCAAGCCCAGGTAAAATCATGGCGGGAGGAAGGTCAGTGGTGGTAGCAGCATCCTTGCACAGCCAGAAAACTCCCAGGAGGGCCAGGGGCTCTATCCTATCGAAATCTGCTTTCTAGCTGGAGGTAGAAGGGGCCTGCACCTCACTGAAAATCACCTCTTATTGGGCACAGGTTCTCTATCATGTCACAAGGCATAAGAGCAAAGCAAGTTAGGGCTGAATCTTTGTTTTGATTTTAGTCTGTGTTTGGACAAAGAATTTTGATGTAGGGCCTCACTGGTGGTGCAGCGGTTGAGCGCTGGGCTGTGAAGCTGCCCGCAGCCTCTGCAGTGCCGGTTCGATCCCTGACCAACGGCGAGGGTCCCACATGGCGCACAGACCTCTCCTGCCGCGCCCCCGCTGCTCCCCTCACCAGTGTTATTTCATCGGTCTGCTTGTTCTGTTCCCCGCTCTTGCTCTGGTGAATTCTCTCACCCCCTCACCCAACGCCGCGCTTCTGACTGTTCCCAGTGCTTGTATAAATAAATAAATAAATAAATCTTTAAAAAAAATAAATCTATCCTTTTAAAAAAAAAGAATTTTGATGTAAGGTAGAGAGTTGAAGTCTTAGTGGGTAAAGCATCCTTGTACTTCTCAACTGTGGTGCCTTGTCAAGATGACATAGGTGAGCTGCTAAGTATTTACACTCAAGATTTTGGGAGGAACTGTAAATAGGAATTTAGCCTGAATGATTAAGATAAAACGTAACCTAGAGTTACATCTTTAAATTATGTGATGGTGGGGAGTGAATTTACAGTGGTATAGATTTTTATCTTATTGTTTCAAATCTTAGAAAAGGTGTTTGAAATTTGCTACATTATCAGAAATATAGGTAAGGACAATAGTGAGTGCCATTTCATGATGTAATGGAAACAATTCTTTTTTCTTTCTTTTTTTTTAAGATTTATTTATTTATTTTATACAAGAACTGGGGTACAAGCCAGAGGCGTGGGAGGGTGAGAGAATTCACTAGAGACAGAGTGGAAAACAGAACAGAATATTTCTGATAATGTAGCAAATTTCAAATACCTTTTCTAAGATTTGAAACAATAAGATGAAACTCTATACCATTGTAAATTCACTCCCCACCATCACGTAATTTAAAAGGCAGACTGACAAAATACACTGCTGAGGGGAGCAGCAGGCGAGACAGGAGAGGTCTGCTGCGCCATGTGGGACCCTCGCCGGCTGGCGGGGATCGAACCAGCGCTGCAGAAGCTGCGGACAGCTTCTCAGCATGGTTGCCTGTGTCATGAGGGGATGCCCATTGGAAACAATTCTAAGAAATAACAGTTAGGCCCAAAATTGGCATTCATAATCATTACATTACAAATCCAAATTCCTTAATAAGTTTGTTTTGAACTGATGTGCAAAGTATGATATGCAGCTAGATAGAAACAACATGTGTGAAATGTTAAGTGTTATTCTGCATTCTACCAAGCATCCAGTGAACTATTGATATTAAATATAATCTAATATCTGAAGCCCATTTTATAGGTCTCTGGTCTCCATTTTTAATCATGTACTAATATCAGCAACAATATTTTGAAACTGTACCTCTGAATAGCATGTTCGTACTGTTATAAATATATTGAAGCTTGATCGCTTCCTTGTTTTTAGATAAAAAATCTTAAGTAAAAGTAATCTCTACTTTCTGTATTCCCCTGGTCGACCTTGAACACCCCAGTTATATGTACCTGCTTTGGGGAGACTGCCTCTCTATGATATGTTAATTCTCTGTGGGGTCTAATCATACTCAGAAAGCAGACACAAAACTCATCCAGGATAATAGAAAGACGTATCTGGAAAACGCATCCTGCTTCTGTTGCCAGAATTATAGGCTGTTGAATTGGAAGGAATCACAGAGGTCATCTGGTCCAGCAATTCTCCTGAATTCTAATTCTGTAAAATGTGAATGGTCTTGTGTGAAAAGAGGGGAAAAGGGTCAAATAAGCTTGGGACACCCTAGTCTACACCATTTTATTTTATATATTAATTTGTTAGTCGTTTACATGTCTGTATAACTTTGGGGTCACTTTTTAACTCCTCCATATGCACATGCTTCCTCACCTTTCACCAGACCTCCCGTGCCAATGTCCTACCCATTCCTTCCCTTGCCCCCTCCTTCCAGTATATTCTGGCAACCAGTATATTTTTCACAAAGTCTAAGAATTTTTTTGCTGTGCTTGCCAGTATGTTTTTTTTGTATTCTACAGGTAAGGGTTTATACCACTTTAAATAGATATCTTTATAGAAGAACTTCTGGAACCTTTATTAATGTAGCCTTGTGAGTAGCCTTGTGAGTCTTGAAGAAGGGGATAATGTATACAGGGGATTATGTATACAGTATTTCACAAAACAAACAACCCATGGACTATCGTGTGGGGTTCATATTCCACAGGTACACATTAGAAAACACTGTCTCATTTTAGACACCAAAATGTTGGCTTAAAAGCCTGAGTAATTGACACAGCTTGCTAGTGGCTTAACACAACTAGTAGTAGTTTCTTGACATACCCAACCTGGGGGAAGAATGGTGTATGAAACTGTCATAACATCTCCACCACTCAGAGGACCCATAGTCTCATTTTCAGGCAATTGCATGCACTTGGGGGCCTGCTGAGTTGGACCCTTAGGGATGAGGGGAATTTCTTGAAATTCATCCCCATGAGAAGTCAGAGTAGATGAAAAATGAATACATACCTTCAAAGAATATAAAACAATTATTGAACAGAGGCTGGGGAAAAGATAGTGAAAATTTTGCATCAGGGAATGTGGTTCTAGGCCTTTTTGCATTCACTAAAGCATGCTGCATGGTCAGCCACTCACAGAGCTCTGTCTGTTAGAAACTTCGGGCAAGCATGACTTTTTTTTTTTAAAGATTTATTTATTTATGCATACAAGAGCTGGGGTACAGGCCAGAGATGTGAGGGGTGAGAGGAGTTACCAGAGACAGAGTGGGGAACAGAACAGGGGAGCAGCAGGCAAGACAGGAGAGGTCTGCTGCGCCGTGTGGGTAGCTCTCTGACCAGGGCTTGAACTCATGCTGCAATGGCTGCTGATACCTTCATATGCTGAGATTTAAGCCCTTGTGCCACCAAGGAGGCCTGCATCGACTTTTTAAAAATCACTTTCCTTGTTGACACATAGGGATAAGCTACGTTAATACGTAAGTATAAAATGACCTAACCCTTTATCCTTGAGTTTTAGAGGACCACGTCTCTGCAGGGCATCTCCTTTTCGTAGAGGTCCTGTTCACACAGACACACGCGCCCAAACAGTCATGCGGAACACGTAGGGTTCCACACTGTCACACACACACAGTGCACAGGTCACACAATCATGTTCACACAGTCACACACCATATACACGCTTTCACACAGTCACACACATATCATCCATGGTCACACACACCTACTACACACAATCACGCACGTGCATGCACATGCACACACCCACACTCACACACACTATTAGGACTCTTCTAACCTGGAAGTCTTTCCCTGAATCACCCTTGCAAAGGCATCCCGGCAAAACAGTTATTTTGACTAGTGGCTGCTTTGACAAAGACGGCTTCCGGCTCTGATCCGTCATGTCCCTGTCTGCTGGATGCCGCCTGAAGAGTGAGCCTGTTTCCTCCTACTTGTTTTACTTCTTCCTCCTCTTGTTATAGGACAGGGAGAGGGGCAGCCCAAACCCCGCAAACCTGCCTATTGCCTATTTTAAATGGGTTCTGCCATCCGCCGCATTAACACAAAACATATGAGACTTTAATGGGAAGGAACTTTAATAAAACTAGGAAACAATACAGGCAAGGCAAAGAGTCTAGTTTCTAAATGAAGCACCCAAAGTTACCCGTCCCCTCGTAGGTAAAACTCCATCCAAATGGGATTGGCCCAGAGCAAGACCCCAAAGCCTGCCACAAGTCTAAGGCATCTTCCAGTGGGGACCCACAGAAAAGGGTCAGAAACAACCAGACAAGCCCGGAAGGAAAAGAGCAAAATCAACATCAAGATAAAAGCTGCCATTGTCACCCTCCCCATGGGTCTCACCCACATCTGTGTCACCCAGTCCACGACCAAAAGACAAGCGGTTTCTTCACGTGTCTCTAGGCTCCATGAGCCTCCTCCAGGTCTCCTGGCTCCATCCTGCTTCCTTCCTCAGTCTCTTCTGCAGCTTCTCCTCTCCCTGCTCAGCTCCACCCTCCCTTGGGAGGGGCAGGGAACCTCTCCCTTTCCTGGGGACCACCCTGTTACACTCTCAGCCTCCCAGATTTCCCTAACTGCCCCCCACTCTGGCTGCTTTTCCCTTGTGATTTGAAAGGCGAACTGAGCTTTTGGCCTGGGTGTCTGGGCTCTGGCCCCTCCTGGCCTTGGACTCTGCTCCTCCCTTTATCCTTCCTTCCCATGTGCTGCTCCCTTAGTGCCACCTGCCCTTGGCCATCCTTCTCCTGGTCTGCATCATGGCTTGTTGTGCTCCACCCTGTGCCAGCTTCCTCGCCCTTCCCTGGGACCCCTGAGGCCCTCATTCTCCCCAGAGAGGACTGGGAACTGAGAGGAAATAAAGTCAGAAGTCAGGGGAGGTTCAGGACCTGCTTCTGTGGCTGCCTGCCATAGGGCTCAGTTTTCCTGATCTTTCCAAACCTTGTTTCTCCAATTGAAAAGGGTCAATAAGACCCTCTCCAGTGTGCTGATGGGGTGACTGCAGTGAAGAGGGGTGCTCACAAGGGCATGGTCATTGCTATTGATAATACTGTGCTAAATATATTTCCGTGTGATGGCAGTAGCCCGCTTCTAAAAGACTAGCAAACAGGGGCCTCCCTGGTGGCACAAGGGGTTAAGATATAGCCTATGAAGCTATCCACAGTCACTGAAGCACGAGTTCGATCCCCAACCAGGGAGCTACCCACATGACACAGCAGACCTCTCCTGTCTCGCCAGCTGCTACCCTCAGCAGTGGATTTCAGTCTGTCTGCCTGTTCTGCTCCCCACTCTGTCTCTGGTGAATCCTCTCACCCCCCACACCTCTGGCCTGTACCCCAGCTCTTATATGCATAAATAAATAAATCTTTAAAAAAAAATAAAAGACTAGCAAACACAACTTTCTTCTCTTATCCCGCCACCCCCCCCCACCCCTGTTTTGGGATCCTGTGAAGGTGCTAGCCAACCCTTTGAGGGGTTTGGACTCAGAATCTGGACCCTGAGTCTGAGTCAGAGGGCCAAGGCATTGATGAGGAAGGATGAAATAAAGGGTATCCAGCTCACTCAGCTAACACACAGCTCAGGATTAGTGGCCTAGCAACCAAATAATTGGTCCTTTAAAAACAAATTCTGGGCCCTCATGAACGGCACTGGGATTTCAGTCTCCTCTTTCTTGCCAGGGTGCTGGCATTTGGGACTTCTACTCCCCTAATCTCCCCACTAAGTGTTGTGGAAACTGTGCTGACCAGCAGGGATTTGCTCCTCCCTATGCGGCAGAGGGACAAAGAGCTGGCTGAGCTCAAAATCTAATGTCTGGCATCCATTAAGAACTTAGGCCAAGCTCTTCCCCTGCATTCCTGGGGGTCTTCCCTGGGGTGTCTGAACATGGCCCTCGAGCAGTCACTGCGCAGAGAGCTGGGATGATCCCTCTGGGCTTCTGAAACCAGGCTTGGGGAAGAGCCTGGAGAGAGTGGAACTCCTTGGACAAGCGAGACATGACAACAGGGCACTTGACCTAGGTCCCCTATTCCAGCCAAGGCAAAGAAGTCACCAGACTTTCCCCCTTGGATATGCAGCTCCGCTGAGCTTGCCTGAAAATAAATCTGATTTTGACATTTTCCTCAAATTGCCTAAAACCCTACAGTGTTTTCCATGGCTTTTGAATTAAGATACAATTCTTTACATTTTTCAAAGACTTTCCTTTAAGTGAAAGATTGCAAGCAAACTAAGACTGGAAAAATAATACAATGAACACCCCATAGACATCACCAATATTTTAGTAACAGTGAACATTTTCCCATACTTCTTTCATTGTTGCTTTACTTTTACTAAAGTATTTTAAAGTAAATTACAGATATGAAAACAATTTCACTTGAGACTTTTGGCAAGACCATTAAGAGCTTGTCTTGATAATATGCTGTCTCACCCAGGAGGGATCTGCCTTAGCAAGACCCTAGAAGAGCCTGGTCCTCCTCTTGGTCTGCCTGTGAGGGCCTGGAGTGGTAGGGGAGAGGTGGACTTCAGTACTGGATTTCACCTTGTTGGGGAAGAGATGGCAAGCTTGAGAGATGCCTAACAGTTACAGCCTAAAGGGAATAATTTCCCAAAATCTCACTCAAGCTCGTGGACAAATATCTCTTGCTTGTCTTTGCAGTCACCTATATAAGAACTTCGATGTGACAAAAATCAGAAAAGGAAAACCTCAGCCCCTTCTCAGAGTGGATGACCATGACTTCACCATGAGGCCTGCCTTTGGAGGTAGGAGTGTGACTCGCCTTCCAGGGTGGGGCCTTGTCCCCAGGGCAGCCTGCTGCTGCTCTGTCAGTTCCCTTAGGCACAGCCTCCTTCACTCAGATAAACCCAACTCTGCTTCTCTTCCAGAGTCACTAATTTTCTGGGAGGAGAATAGAGCTGGAAGGAAATGACTGGGGAGGGCTGTGACTGAAGATAGTGATTAAGTTGTTTATATTCACAAAGGAGACCTGCCAACTTCCCTAAAAAAAAAAAGAAAAGAAAAAAAGAAAAAAGAAAAGAGCTGGGCCTCCCCTGGTGGCGCAGCAGTTGCTGGGCTGCAAAGCTGCCCAGCTGCCCGCAGCCTCTGCAGCGCTGGTTCGATCCCCGGCCACCGGCAAGGGTCCCACATGGCACGCAGACCTCTCCTGCAGCCTGCTGCTCCCCTCAGCAGTGTATTTCGTCAGTCTGCCTGTTCTGTTCCCTGCTCTGGCTCTGGTGAATTTTCTCAACCTCCTGCACTTCTGACTGTACCCAGAGCTTAAATAAATAAATAAATAAATAAATAAATAAATAAATAAATAAATAAATAAATAAATAAATAAATAAATAAATAAATAAAAGAGCCGACCGAGAGAGCCTCAGACCTAGCTGGGAAGTTTAAATCTGAAGGGCCTTTCCAATGCCACCACAGCAATTGAGCCGTTTACAAAGCTCACCCACAGACTTGACCCCAAAGGAACTTTGCTTCGGGTCAGGGAAGGATGGTGAGGACTAAGGGTGTCTCTTGCAGCAAATGGAGAAATGCCACAGGAGAGCCGGGAAGGGAGCCAACTGTTTGCACCAACCAGGCAGGGGATGAGATGAGAAAATAGAATGCATGAGGTCAATGCACCACTTAAGGGGAAATGGGCTTGGAGCTTTTCAGCCTGTGGACCCTAGCCTAGACAGACTGGTGAGTTGGCTGCCCTTTCTCATTGTTTCTCTGCTCAGGATCCTTTTTTAGGTCCCAGCATCCTCCTGGCACCAGAAAGGAGTAGGGATGACCTGCAAGAAATTGACTAACCCTCTCTAAGCCTCTGCTTGCTGGTTTGTAAAATGGGGATGCCCTCCCTCCTGGGGCTGTCAGGATTAAATGAGATTAATGCATGCAAAACCCCTGGCACTTACTGGTTCCCCTTAGAAAAACCCAGCTGTCAGTCCTTCCTCTGTGACTCTTATGGGATTAAGACATTAATTTATTTCAGAAGCCTTTGCATTTGAAAAATGCAAAGCCTTCCATTAGATTCCCTGAGCACTGACACCTGCTGAGTATAGGGAGAAAAGTAAGCAGCAGATTACAGTCCTGCGAAGCAGCCAGGATCAGGCGCCTGTGTCTTTGGGAGTTCTGGTTCCCTTGGGGGTTATAGGTCATTGTTATAGGTCATTCTGGTAAGGAATTTTTATCAAAATAAATTCTTCCTGAATAAGCAGCTATAAAATAGCTGTGTCTGTCTGTACTAGAGGTGCAAGCAGACAGGATGTTCCACCTTGCCTTTTAGTGTAGACTAACAGTTAAGACACATGGAGTTAGCGAAGCAACTAGAATAGAAATAACCGACAAGAGTATTGTAGGGTAAGGAAAAAGTATCAGGCTTTTCTGCCCTCCCGCCATTAGGATAGATGAGGGAACCCTGTGGTCCTGAATGCATGCCTGATGGCGGGCACCTGAAGTGGGTACACCTGGGCTGAGAGACTGAGTTTATAAGGGCGGCATCACGTGGAAGCCAGCAGAAGCCAAGAACGAACGGAAGCAGGAGAGCAGAGAAGCAGAGAGAACACGAGAGAAGGCTGGAGAGCCCAGGTAGAGTGAAGACTTGCTGGGGGCCGGCCCCCAGGCACCCCTACCTGCCATGTGCCTGGTAAATCTAAATAAAAAAACTGCAAAAGCCACTGAGGGCTCCAGGACTCTCTCCTCCTTTACCCCAGTCTGCATGGGATCTTAGAAAACCTGCACAGTGGCCCGTCCTGACCCTACTAGTGTTAATGGCAATTAATGCTTTTATAGTGATTTCTCTTTGACAGGTACCACTGTAATCAAGGTACTCCATATGTGGTTTTAGTTCTCACAACTGTGAGGTAGATACTATTATTATCCCCAAATGGGGAAACTGAGGCACAGTGAGGTGAATTAACTGACCCAGCCACTACTACTGTGTTAGGTCCTCCCGGCTAGCCAGGTCTCTTTCTTGTCACACTCCCTACATGTCCCTCAATGCACGTGTTGGGGAGGTACCATGTTCCTGACCCACTTAATGATGGGCGGAGCTGAGCAGTAGGTGAAGTTACATATGCAGTGGGCTGGAGAGTAGGGGAAACTCATGGAGAAGAAGGGTTACCTTACTTCTCAGCTTTGGACTTGCGTCAGGGACTCAGGGAACTTGGAGGAGACAAATGGAGGAGAGACATCTCTCACGTGTGTGAGAGACACATCTGGAGGCTGGCAATGGCAGCCATTATCTTGATTTGTACTTTGATTTTGCTCCTTTGGTCTCAGCTTTCTGGGAGCTGCTTCAGAACTCTTTCCTATGGTTTCTCACCAGAAGATGCAATAGAATTGTGACAGATTTTTGGGCTTCATCCAACTTGCTTCTAACTGACCCTGTTTAGCTGGGCATTTGCCTATGAAAGGATGAACCTCAAGAGGCTCAGGGTTCCTCCATGATTTATTTGGAGAAATGAATGTCTCAAGGGAGCCAAATCTAAGGAGACAGCTGGCCCTCTTGGGGATCCTGGGGCCTTCCTCCCAGGAGCTATTGCCCCCAGGGAAGACCCCTCTGACCCTTCCTCAGCACCCTTGGCCCATCCTTTCTGGAGCACAAGCCACAATTGCCACCACCACCCTGCTCTGCTCTACCCCTAAAATAAATCTTCTCTTCTTGGCCTCCATCTCAAACTCTGCAATCCCCAGGGCAATCTCACTCCTTCCTTCACCTGATCCCATCTGAGCACAGTGACCAATGAGGTCACCCTCCCGGAGGACAGGGTGCTGGGCAGAAGTACAGGTTGGCTCCAATTAAACAAGTCGCTGGGATAATATATTGAGAAATTGGTTAGCTATCCCGTGGAGACCTCTTTTCAACTTTAAGGACAATTAGGAAATTAAAATTTGAGTCAGAATTTGGGCCTGAATCATGAGAATCATGGTCAGCCTTAAAGAGAGATCTGGGGGCCTCCCCGGTGGCGCAGCGGTTGAGCGCTGGGTTGCAAAGCTGCCCGCGGCCTCTGCAGCGCCGGTTCGATCCCCGGCTGCTCCCCGGCCACCAGAGGAGGGTCCCACATGGCGCACAGACCTCTCCTGCCGCCCCTGCTCCCCTCAGCAGTGTACTTCGGTCCTTCTGCCTGCTCTGCTCCCCGCTCTGGCTCTGGTGAATTCTCTCACCCTCCCGTGCTTCTGACTGTACCCAGTGCTTGTATAAATAAATAAATAAATCTTTAAAAAAAAAAACTTAAAAAAAAAAAAAGAGAGATCTGGGCAGGTTGTAGGAGGGGTGAGTGTCTGCAGAAAGGAGAAGGGACCTGAGGAGGACAGGAATGGTCAGGGATGAGCCATGGCACGTAGACCGCAGAGGGAGAGATGGCCGCCAGAGAGCAGTCAGGGAGGTCGAGGCCCAGGGAAAGTCTCCTTGTCTCAGCAAGTGCAGTGTGGAAAGGGGGGCAGATATCTAGGAAGTGGAGAGAGCAGGAGTTGGACAGCAACAGGAAAGTGGCCTCCAGCACATGGGGCATTATAAAATCTCAATCTGGCACTTTCCTTCAATGTCAGTCAACCAGTGGTTCTCAAGCTTGGATGTGGATTGGCATGGTTACAGGGCCTATGAAAATGCAGACTCCCAGGCCACTCCCTGGAGTCTGGTTCAGGAGGCCTGGGTGGGCCTCAGAATTGCACCTCTGACAAGAGGTGGTGCTGCTCATGCTGCCACAGAGGGTGAGCCCTGATTTAGGCCAGCTTGGCTACCCCACCCTGGTGGTTAATGCCTGCCATGTGGCCCTCGCTGCTTGTTTAGCAGGTGGCACTCGCCATGAGAAGTCACGTTGATATTGAAACTGAGAAGTTTGATTGCACCTACCAACAACGGGAAGAGTCTCAACCAATATTTCAAATTAACTCAGATTTTGCAACAAGCCCTCAAGGGAAGAAAAGGGCCCTGGAGGAAATGCAGTCATGCCATCTTACCTGCAGTAATGAAGATTCCCCTGTTCCAGCAACACCCAGGCCTATCTGGTGAGCCAGCGCCATCACCAGGGGAGAAGTCCAGCTGCAACAGGGGCTCCATGTCTGGAAAACTAAGATCAGTTTTCCAACCTTGCAGAGGCAGGGCGAAGGGCGCTGTCTTTGTTAGGTCTGTTTTAACAAAATACCATGGCCTGGTGACTTAACACAATTATTTGTTTAAGTTATATTTATTGAGGTAACGTTGATTTGCATCAAAGTGTATGCCATGGGACATAGGTTTACACTGTCACAGTTGTCCTTTATTTCACCACACCCACCACCAAAGCCCCAGTAATCCTCCATTAGACACCCCTCTCCCCTTTGCTAGATCCCTAGGGGTCTTGAAGCAGAAAAACCTACAACACTGATTTTGTCAATTTACCATTGACTTACAATACTACATAAATTTCAGGAGTATAGCTTCACACCTTAATATATGTATATACCAGACTAAACCCACCACCAAAGTTCCAGTACCACTTAACACAAATTCATCCCCTCTGCCCACTGCGCACAACCCCCTAGTCTAATCACACTATATTTCTTCTATAGGATTCAGCGCCACTGAATACATAAAATCATTCGTGGAAGAAAGTGTGAGACCAGTCATTTAGATGAATTTCTCCCAAAACCAGTTGGAAAGGATCACAAACTAGAGCCTTCCAATGAGACAGGTCAAAGGCAAAGGTCAACCCCCTTGCTTTCAGACCCAGGGGAGCAGAGTTGTGAGCTCCCCTGACTGCAGCTCCGGAAGCCTCCTGAACACACAGATTGTTTACTTCCAACAACCCAGGCCCCCTGAGAACATGAGCTACACTCCCAGGTGGGCAAGTCTCCAGAACACTGACGCCAACCTCATGCGCTTTATCAAATTTCTCCTAGAAGGGCGGCTGGAGCTGCACCGAACAAGACAGCACCTGAGAACAGACACAGTAACAGATACCCAGCAATCTGATATATATATTTTATCTGGAAACTGACCTTCACCAGAGCCAGCTACTGTTCAAACACTGTGCACATTATCTGAAAACCAGGCCACTGGCAAGTGGCGCCAAAGAGGGCGGTGACAGTATCATTCTCCCCTTGTCTCCTGGAATGAGTGTGTCTAGCAGTTACTTGGCTCTTTAGAGAAGGGTGGGGGTGGGGAGGGGGGAGGACAGTGGGTTGAGCTCAGCACACTCTCCCGGAGGGCCCGCCCTCAGATACCGCACTGTTTTAACACCTCAGGCTAAAGAGGTCCAGAGGACAGGGAAATTCACCAGCCTACTTCCCCTTGGTAATGTTGGGAGCATGTAGACCATCCAGGGGCCTGGGGACCGGGAGAGGGCCTGGCCAGGCTGCAGGTGGACCCTCTCTTGTGTTGCAAGGGCTAGGAAGAGAAATATAGGCAAGTTACCCCTGAGGAGAGAACCTCCTCTCACACTCCTGGGGCCTGTGCAGGGATTTTCCTTGGGCCCTAATCTAAACCATCATCTGAGGAACATAGAAAAATAAAAAGATCAACTTTTACCCTGTTTTATCTGAGAGGGGGAAAAATTAAATGTAAATCATCAAATTCATTTACTTTCACATTTAAGAAAACAAAATTTTGAGTGAATCCCACTAGTAACAAACAAAATGCTTCCATTCTATTGGACCCAGTCAAAATAGAAAAAAACCCAAATACCCAAAACCTCAAATCCCTAATAGTGAGACTGCAAGTAAGTTTACAGGGCATGTTTGAGGGGAGTTGGTGAGTCTACCCAATGCCCTGGGCTACCTTCTTGAAGAACCACTGGAACTGAGAATTTAGGCTGAAACTGAGAATTGCGCCTTCTGCCACTGCTAAAGTTCCAGTTCCTTTCAATCCTTCTTTTACCCTATGACCCAGCTCTCCTGCCAAAGTTTCTCTGGGCCCAGGCCACCATGGTTCAGCATGTCCTGGCCCTGCACTTCCTGGCCAGGTGCAGTGGGGCTGGCCCCCTGACACTGCCCTCTCCTTAGAAGGCCCAACCAGCTGCCCCTCAACTCTCTCACAGGCATTGTTTGTGAGAGTAAAGGGTTTCATTAATATGCTTGACAGAGAGGTTTTTGGTTTTCCTCACTCTGGGGTTTCTTTTCTTGTAACATTAAAACAATTTTAAACATTTATGGAAGCATCTCACACACACACACACAATGCACAAATTATAAGTGCTGAGGTCACCAAAAGACCTGACTAGATTGAGTTTACCAATGTAACTATTGCCCAGCTCAAAGAAATGGAACAGGAAGTCACAGGTAGACATGGTTTTAGAAATCTTTCCAGCAGCCAGATGAAATCGGGTGCCAAATTTCTGTGCTATTTGTTCTCATAATTCTGATCTGATACGTCCTGAAAGGCTGTCCAAATCCTGCATGGTGTTGTCTTTAACTGCTATCTCGCTGCAGAGATCTTTTCTCACACCAGGTTAGAGACTTCAGAGGGCAGAACCCCTGCTATTTTTTCGGTGCTCTGTAGATGCAGTTTGAATGATAAATGAATCCAGCCCTGGGCACGCAAGTGCTCCAGTTACAGCCAGAGTTCTTAGGCGTCATTCTGTCCTTTTTAGATGTCACAGGGGGACAAATTGTTGGGAGGAAAGGATGTCCTGAGCAAACTCCATACAGGTTTTGTGGACTCTACCTCCACTCCAGACCAAAGCCATGAAGACACTGGAAATGACAAATCCCATCATCAGCAAAGGGAGGGTTGCTGGGACCTGAGGGCGGGGTTAAGCAGCTAAGTTTGGTATTAAACCAGACATGTGGGCCTTGGGTCATTTTCTTGGCCTCCTGGCTCTTGGCTCTTAGCCAGCTCTCAGCATGCCAATGGGATTCCAGGTCGGCAGAATGGGTAGGACGCATTTAAGAATTTATCTCCCTCTCTTCTCCCTGAGTTGTACATTTCCTCATTTCCCCTTCTCTTGTAAATAAACCTTTTATCAACTGTTTGTGTATGTCTGCAGTTTAGCATTAATAAGTCCTCTTTAAGCACGCAGGTGAGGATCCATACTCAGGCAACCCATTTATATCGGGGTTGCCCTGTAACAAAATGACCAGGGTGTCCTCTAAGCACCAGAGCAATGCTATCACCTCTACCCTACAAAGGTGGGGTGTAGAAAGCAGTAATCCTGCTTATTAGCCCATCCAACAAGCACAGATCAAATATCCATCTTGGCCCAAGAAAAGTCCAAAAGGCAGACACAGTCCCTGTCTCTATGGAGAAAGTTCAGGCACCCACCAAGTCAAGAAGTAGGAAGAAAACCTTCACAGAACTCGAGCCATTGCTTCACCCTGCTCCAGTCAGGAAGGGGTTAGGGCCACCTCCCAGTCTATGCTAGAAAAGAAATGTGCCTTAACCAACTGTCTTTGTTCTTCTGCAGGCCCTGCTATCCCAGTGGGCGTGGATGTACAAGTGGAGAGTCTGGACAGCATCTCAGAGGTGGACATGGTATGCAGCTTCCTTGGTTGGGCAGCTGCCAGGGTGGGGCTGCATGGCAAAGATTCTGCTTGAACCCATGTCTGGCGGGCAGAGCCCAAGCTGGAGGGCATTTGGACATTGATTCAGGAGCAGCAAAGTCTGGAGCAGGGTTCTCAAGTTTCATAGGCAAAAATACTTGGAGAGTTGGTTAAATGCAGATTCCTGGGCTCCATCCCAGGCCTCCCAATTTAGCACTTTACATTTTGAACACACTCCTCAAGTAACATGAGTGGACAGACAACCGCACTTGCAGGAGCACAGGAGGCAGACATTTTCAGATTGAATCCTGCAGTTCTTTGATATCCAGTACCTGCTGAGATTATGGCACCCCTGACCACTCCTAGGCAGTGTCCACCAGGATCAGGTAGTGAGGCAAGGCTATTCCAAACAGCAGTTCAGTCGACACCTGAAGGATCAGGAGACAGCTGCAGGGAGCACAGCTATCTGAGGCCCCCGAGGCAGAGTAAACAGCAAGTTTGCAAGCTAAAGAGCACAACACAAAGTGGGAAAGAGATGGCCACAGAGGTGTATGGGTGGGGGTGGGGGGGGAGGGGTGAGTCCCCTCAGGACACCAGCGGGTGTGTGGGTCAGAGCAGGCACTGTGCTCTGAGTCCATCACCACCATGCATGCCTCTTTTCATCCTTCCACTTGCTCCCAGAAGAGGATCTTTTCGGCAGTTATTTATTCTTTGCCCTTGTGTCTTAACTCCGTTGGTGATAAAGGGGCCAGCCTGGGTTTAAAGCATCAACTATGCAGGCCAGGAGATACTTTTTAATAGGATCAGTTTTCAGGTTGCAATTATAGTAACATGCAGCTGCCCATCCCCACATTCCCTTCATTTTTTCATCCTGCAAATATTTACTGAGCACCTGCTATGAACCTCGCCAGGCCTTGAACGAGGGCCTGGGACTCCAACAGTGGGCAGAACACACTTCTACCTTCAAAAGTCTTGCAAATTTTTTTTTTTAAAGATTGATTTATTTATTTATACAAGCACTGGGTACAGTCAGAAACGCGGGAGGGTGAGAGAATTCACCAGAGCCAGAGCGGGGAACAGATCAGGCAGAGTGACGAAATACACTGCTGAGGGGAGCAGCGGGTGGCAGGAGAGGTCTGCGTGCCATGTGGGACCCTCGCCAGGGATCGAACTGGCGCTGCAGAGGCTGCAGGCAGCTTCGCAACCCAGCGCTCAACCACTGCGCCACCGGGGAGGCCCAAAAGTCTTGCAAATTTAACTTGGTACTTTGGCAAAAGGGAGCAAGGGGCAAATGGAGAATGGGTTTTGTACAGGGCACCTTCCGTGGGGGGCAGTACCACTCAAGACTCAGAGCCTGGGCCATTTTAATATCTCAGGCGAACCAGAACCAGAGAATGAGGGAATGCTCTCTTCCTTCACATTGGGAACACTTGCCTGTCAGCGGGATCTTAAGCTTGGGGGGACTAGTTGAGCCTGAATAAGTTGAGGGAGACAATGACCATCTATGTACCTTCTACCTCTGAGAACCTATATAATTCTAGTTTATTGGTAATAAAGATGGAAAAAAGTAACAAGCACTATCTATTGAGTGCTGGTGCAGTTTGGCTTCTGAGGTTCTGTCCCAGTTTCAGGAAGTGTTCATTAAGCTGAAATGGAATGGTCAGCTAGGACATAAGGAGCCATGTGTACAAAGGTCTAGGTGAGCAAGAACAGGGCTTTGGGGAAATCCACCCTGTTGAACCCCAGGTCAGGCCATGCAGTTTTCACTTGTAAATTTCGCAGGGTCAGCTGTTCTGTCTCCTGGGCTCCAACTGTTATAGGACAGGGAAAGGGTCAGCCCAAACCCTGGAAACCTGCCTATTCTAAATGGGTTTTGCCATCCGCAGCATCAACACAAAACATATAAGACTTTAATGGGAAGGAACTTTAATAAAACTAGGAAACAATACAGGTAAGGCAAAGAATCTAGTTTCTAAATCAAGCACCCAAAGTTACCCATCCCCTCGTGGGTAAAAGTCCATCCAAATGGGATTGGCCCAGAGCAAGGCCCCAAAGCCTGCCACAAGTCTAAAGCATCTTCCAGTGGGGACCCACAGAAAAGGGTCACAAACAACCGGACAAGCCCAGAAGGAAAAGAGCAAAATCAACATCAAGATAAAAGCTGCCATTGTCACCTCCCCATGGGTCTCACCCACATCTGTGTCACCCAGTCTACAACCAAAAGACAAGCGCAGTTTCTTCACGTGTCTCTAGGCTCCATGCGCCTCCTCCAGGTCTCCTGGCTCCATCCTGCTTCCTTCCTCAGTCTCTTCTTCAGCTTCTCCTCTTCCTGCTCAGCTCCACCCTCCCTTGGGTGGGGCAGGGAACCTCCCCCTTTCCTGGGGACCACCCTGTTACACAACCTTGTGAGGCAGAAAAAGAGCTGGTCTTTTTTCTATTGCTGCAGCACCATTGTCTTGGTCATTGTCCCTTGGGGCTGCAGAACTGACACTTCTCTCCTCCGGGTCTCCCTACCCCCATAAGAACTGTCACTTCTGACTCTGGAGGCTGAGGCTCCGGTGTCCCTTACCAAGGTGGATGAGGGGCTGATGATTAGGAAGCTTTCTAAGCCTTTTCTATCTGGTTGCATCCCTGGTGCCTACAGGATTTCACCATGACCCTGTACCTGCGGCATTACTGGAAGGACGAGAGGCTGGCCTTCCACAGCTCCAGCAACAAGAGCATGACCTTCGATGGTCGGCTAGTAAAGAAGATCTGGGTGCCCGATGTCTTCTTTGTTCATTCCAAAAGGTCATTCATTCACGACACCACCACAGACAACATCATGCTGAGGGTGTTTCCAGATGGGCACGTGCTGTACAGCATGAGGTGACTGCCCCGGGGGTCATGCTTCTTGGTCCAGTGCCACTCTAATGTGTACAGCCATTCCCCTGGGCCCTGAAGAGTTTGTCACTGTGGCTGGGTTTACAGGCTCTGCGGGACTGTAGAAACCTGATAACAGTTAGAAATCAAAAGATGAAATGACCACCCTAGTGGGTGGTGACTTCTCTGCCATGGGGAAATCTCAAGCTTGGGTTAGGAGACTGAGCCTTGAGTGAATTAAGGGAAACAATGACTTTCTATATACTTTCTGATAATTCACACTGCCGGTGATTCTAGTTTATTGGTAATAGAGATTTTAAAAAATAACAATAGCTACTATTTATTGGGTGCTGTTGCAGATTAGCTTCTAGGCTGACCTGAGTGATCACAGTCTTGTTCCACATCTTCCTGGCGTAGCTGTACAGTTTGCCAGAATTAGGTGCTAATAACCTTGGCTGGGGCTTGGGGAGGGAGCGTCTCCGGGGGTGGCAGCCAGCAGGCTGAGAACCCAGAGAAGGGTGCAGATGTGAGCCATTAGCAGCCAACACCTTCAGTAGCTGGGATCCGGGCAGAGCACCAACATCTATAGAAGGTAAAGCTTGAAAAGTGAATGTCCTGTAATTTAGACACTGGGATTTTTGAGCCTGAAGTAGAGGCAAGGAGGCAGTTGCTGCGGGTCGGTTCTGTGTTCTTACTCCGGACAGGAGTATGAACCAGCTACTCCCTCCCAGAGTCAACATGCCTGCTGTTTTGTCTAGGATCACAGTCACTGCCATGTGCAACATGGACTTCAGCCACTTTCCCCTGGACTCCCAGACCTGTTCTTTGGAGCTGGAAAGCTGTAAGTTCCAGTGTGCCTCATGACGAATCTTTGTCTTATTCCCTCGCAGATCTTTATGCCATGTTAGTAAGCCTGAGGCTGAGTACTGCCCTACTGTGAAGACCTGCTTGCTGCTAGGATAGTGTGGGATTCCCTGATGCTTCACTCTGCATCAAATGCAAAGGAGTCAAATTAACTTATTTTCCTCTCCCCAAGACGCATACACAGATGAAGACCTGATGCTGTACTGGAAGAATGGGGATGAGTCCCTGAAAACGGATGAGAAGATCTCTCTTTCTCAGTTTCTGATTCAGAAATTTCACACCACTTCCAGACTGGCCTTCTACAGCAGCACTGGTAGCTAACCTCTGTCACTGTCTGATTCAAATGTGGAAGAAAGCACATTTGAATTCTTCCTCAGCTTTAACCTTTTCCCTTTCCAATGAAAACAATTTTTTAATTAAAATAATGCATAGTCCCATAAAATGTAAACAGCACTTAAAAGCAGAGAGTGAAAGAGTTGCCACCACTCACAGCCAGGAGGAATTATTCCTCACTGTTTAGCAAACATCCTTGCACACATCTTGCTTTAATTATGTACTTTTACAAAAAGTGGGGTCGTATTTGACATGCTACTCTGTAACCTGACTTGTTAGATTTAACAGTACAGATGGATAGCATTCTGAGGAAATATGAATTTATTATATGTATTTAGATCTATAGAGTCATTTTTATTGCTTAGCATAAGCTCTTCTTGGACCCCGGGCTATGTTTCGAAATTTCGAGAGGATCCATTTGTCAACTCTCCTCTGATCTTACCATCAACTCTTGTATTTGCTTCCAAGGGCTGTCATAGCAAAATTCCACGAACTACGTGCTTGAAACAACAGCAATTTATTTGCTCACAGTTCTGGAGGCTAGAAGTCTTTCTGGAGGGCTATGGTCTTTCTGGAGGCTTTAGGGAGGAATCTTCCTTACCTCTTACTAGCTTCTGGTGGCTGCTGCTTCACTCCAGACTTTGCCTCCGTCGTCACATGGCATCTCCCCACATCTCTGTGTCTTCACATGGTAGTCTTCTCACTGTGTGCCTATGTTCAATTTTCCCTCTTCTTAGAGGACACTGGTCATTGGATCGTGGTCCACCCTAATCCAATATGACCTCAACTTATCTTGCTTACATCTGCAAAGGCTCTATTTCTAAATGTCACATTCCTCAATACCGCTTCAGAGGCTGGGGGACCGAGAGGACTTTTCAGTCATTGCTCTTGGTCCCAGTGCTGAGACGCTCAGGTCCTTCCATGGGAAACGTTTATGCTACTGTCTGCCCCTGCATGGCCACTATCTCCCTGTTCACCTGCCCTCACCACCCCCGTCCCTCCTCTCCCCCACCACAACATCAACAACAACAGTGGAAAAGAGCTAGCCGCAACCGGAGTTGTGTTGGTGTTGAGATATCCCCAGCCTACTTCGGTTTATGCCCATGGGGCTCAGCCCTATCCCTCGCTCCTCTTTCACAGCTTTTTTCCCCTCAGCTATTCTTGGCAAGTTCAAATCAATTCTTTTTCTAAAAAACATTTAAGAATTTCTTATAAACTTTTTATTATGTGTCACTGTTTTGAATACTTAGATGAATTAACTTATTAGTAACCCAACAGTAGTAAGCCCATGACAGAGGTATTATTATCCCCAGTTTACAGATGAAAAAACTGAGACTCAAAGGAATTACTTTGTTTATTGAAGTTGCACAGTTGGTAAGTGGCCAGGCAATCTGCCTCAGTCACTACTCTACTCCTCTTAGATGTTTGTTCATTAGAATGGCATGTGTCTTTGTTTTGTCTCCCATTCCAGCCTTTCTGGAATCTTGACTAAGACAGATCTGGTGTTGGGGACACACAGTTCCATTTTCAGAGCTCCTGGTTCCCTCCTAATGTTTCAAGGCAACTCTCCCTGGTTTTCATAGACAGATGGAAAGAACATAATAGTTCTTCATAGCATATAAGCAGCTCTCAGCTCTTCTGGAAAGACCTGGTACAAACCTAAGAACAATGTGATTTCCTTCATGGATGCTAATTTGTGTAGGGAAAATGAAATTGACCTGGTTGGACAAAGGCTATGGATGAATAAATGATTCGTGGTTTCCGTTGTATTTGAAGAACACTATTTATTCACTCCACTAAAAGCACCTCCCTTTCTAACAAGCCAGCAGCCAACATGGTAACCATGTGTAAACCTGCCTGGACTCACCCTGTTGTTTCAACCTTTCCCTATTGACCCAACCCTTCTCTTACCTGACTCAGTGTTAACTTTCCACTCTGCCAAATGACCTCTGTCCTCTCAGCCATGTTTCTCTCTGTGCAGACTAAGGTTCACCTGCATCTGAATGACCAGGGAATGGACAAGTTTTTGGGGCCCCCCTGGAAACTAATGAGTGAGAATCTCAGATGGTGGAGCCCAGCATGTTTAACAAGTAAATTTTATGCATATCAAAGTTCAAAGACAAATGTGTTTAGCCAATGTAGTTCTCAAAGTATTGTGTTTCAGGCCAGCAGCATTGGCATCACTGGTAACTCGGGGCAGAGGCCAGCTATCTGTGTTTTAACAAGTCTTTCAGGGATAGTCTACAAAGATTGCTGGGTTTCATGTCTCACAGTTTTTTATCAGTAAGATCTGTGTGTGGCCTGAGAATTCTAACACAGTTCCTTTGATGTCCTTGTTACTGACGGGGGACACCCACGTTGAGAAACACTGCGCTAAGTCAGTGTTTCTAGATTCTGGTAGCACATTAGATTACCTGGGAACTGTTTTTGTTGCTGTTAACTAGTACTTTTTTTCACTGTGGTACATAAAATAAACTTATCATTTTAGCCATTTTCAAATGTACAATTCAGCATTCAGTACATATACATGTTGTGTAACCATCAACACTATCCATTTCCAGAACTTGTGCATTATCTCAAGTGGAAATTTTTACCCACTAAACAATAACTCCCTGTTTTACCTCTCTTTCAACCCCCTGGGAACCTACTTTCTCCTCTGAATTTGACTAACTAGTGGAACCACATCGCATATGGACTTTTGTGATGCCCTATTTCACAATAATGGTTTCAGGGTTCATCCACTTGTGGCATGTGCCTGAGTTTCACTCTTTTTTTAAGGCTGAATAATAGTCCACTATATGGATATACCACATTTTCAATCTATTCATCTGCTGATGGACAGGTGAGTTTGGTGATTGTGAATGGTGCTGCTGTGAACTTGGAGAATTTTTAAAATACTCAGTCTTAAGTCTTACCCCAGGCTGATTAAACCAGAATTTCTTTGAGATAGGACAGGGATTTGGAGAGTAGCAAAGCTCCTGGACGGGGGAGGGGTCTCAGCCATTTATTACTGAGATATATACTGTTCTATAACTCAAACACTTCTAATTGTGGGACTTGCATTCAGTCCCTTGAAAATTCTTGTAAGCAGGAATCAAGGATGAGATGTTTCTCTGTTCCCACCCCCCACCAGGTCTTACCACAACACTCACATGTGAAGGTCCTCAATGACCCTGCCCAACAGAAGGACACTGGGTGAGAGGAGTCCTGGTCTGGGCATTAGAGATCCACACTCTCCAAGCCTTGTCCACAACTTAGGCTGAGATATTAGAACAGCCTCCAAATAATAGAGTTAGATTCAATTTGGATTTAAGTACATGACCTCAGTTACTCACCACCATTTCAATGTTTATCTTACATATAACCTCCTATACTGCCATCGACTTATTTTTTTCTTTAAGTGAAGTCCCTTCTTGTACTTAAATTTGTAAAGGACTTTTACATGACTATTATCAATGGGAAACTAGTATCACTGGCCATAAACAGAAGATGACTTTAATTATGAATGTAATGAGTACAAACCAAAAAAATCCACAAACTACCTGCCTTGTAATCCCTGAAATAGTCTCGTGGGGTATACTAGCATTGAGTGTACCCCACACTTTGGGAGACATAGCTGGATCATCTCTGAGTTCTTTGATAAGACCGGGCTGAGGTGGGAGTGGAGTAGAGGTGTACAGGCAGTTTCAGCTGCTGTAGTGAAATAGTGAAATGCATTCCCATTTTCTTCCTGTGAAATAATCACATGGTGAACAACTTGCACAAGACAGATGGAGAGGCTCCCACGAGGCAGATGGCGAGGCAGGGTGGAACTGACGGGAGTTTACAATCATGTGATTGGCCTATTTCTTCTTGTGATGGATGCAGAGATTAACTGAGCTCATAAAGTACCAATAAAGGGGACAGTGACAAGAACCTAGTTTTCCTGGTTCCTCCCTTAGTGGTATTGACCTCAATAAAACAAGAACCACTCCAACTTCTTACCCTCCTGACCATTGGGTCTCTCAGGAAGCATGGTTGTGGGTTTGCAAAGAACAAATACCAAACACCACACAAAGAACTAAACCTATATTTCCATTTACTGCTATAGTTTCCCAAAATGCTGTGAATGGAGGTTAAATACCAAATAAAGCAGTGAATATACTAGATACTGGCAAGGTATTTATTTACAAGAGATTTGGGAAAGGAAATGTATTATTGTAAGCCAACTTTGATTATTAACTTTTGACTTTCCGCTGAAAATGAGGGCAATGTCAGGGAAAGAAGCGTTCTCAGGAAAGGAGGGTGTTTTATTTAGATTTATTTATTTTATTTATGTAGTCCAGAGATGCGGGGGGTGAGAGGATTCACCAGAGACAGAGTGGGGAACAGAACAGGTGAATCTACTGAAACACACTGCTGAGAGGAGCAGCAGGTGAGACAGGCGAGGTCTGCTGCACCACGTGGCTCACCTCCCTGGCGGAGGATGGAATTCAGGCCGCAGTGGCTGGCGATAGCTTGATCGTGCTGAGGATTTACCCCCTGCATCACTAGGGACATCAGGAGTTTGTTTGTATCGTAGGTTGAGCCTCACTAACTTCTCTGTGTCCCCCAGGCTGGTACAACCGTCTGTACATTAACTTCACGTTGCGTCGCCACATCTTCTTCTTCTTGCTCCAAACCTATTTCCCTGCCACCCTGATGGTCATGCTGTCCTGGGTATCCTTCTGGATCGACCGCGGAGCTGTGCCTGCCAGAGTTTCACTGGGTAAAAGCATTTGATAAGGGGTGATACAGTAGTTCTTTCTTTCCCCAAATGATTACTCTATGAAGAAAAAATATAATTATCATTCAGAGTTCTTAACTAAGGGATTGCCAGCCTCCAAAGGGACAGAGTTTCCTCCTGCTTCTTACTGCACCATTCACATACTGCCCTCTGTTTCCTAGACTACATTATGCAAGGCCCAGGGATCTAACACTTTTATCAACTCTGCACAAATCATTTCAGAAAGATACAGTTTATTTGGAGTATAGACATCCACCTGTCAGTTTTAAAGCTCTGTACTTCAATAAATAAGACCATTCTACAAATGTCACAAATAATTCTGTAAGTGCAAAGCTTTGTTTGCTGGCCTTGTTTGGATAGACGAGAGCTCAGAGGCAAAACACCCATATGGTATAATTTCTGGGAAGGAGAGGGCTCTACTCCCTGGAGTTGTAGTTTTAGTCCTTCACAGACACAAATACCAGAGAGATTATTTATAAATAAACTCGCTGTTGTCAATTTGGACAGAATCAGGTTGGGTCCTGAGAAACGTGAGGCTTTAACCAGCAAGGCATAGCATGGCAGGCATCCAGGATTTTCCAGTCTTCATGGGTGTAATCAGTGTGACTGAGACAAGGAACAATGTGTTCCTTCCTTAAGGTTTGATTCCTTTAGAGATGCCCTTTAGTCACTGTTTAAATTCCGCATCCGAATAGGTTCTTTTCAAAGCACCAGAAACCAGTCTCCCAAGGTACTTAAAGTGAAAGGGGCAAGAGGCCAGCTGGCTGGGAGGAGAAGGCCAGAGACTTGTGGGGCCGACACTTGCCCCGGAGAGGGGGATTTCTCAATAGATTTCACAGCAGCAGAATGTAAAATGATGCTTTGGTGACACCGGGTGGGAGTGGGGTGCGTTCTGTACCCTGGTCTGCCTCTGAACTAAGATTGGATGTGGCAGGCATCACCACGGTGCTGACCATGTCCACCATCATCACGGGCGTGAACGCCTCCATGCCCCGCGTCTCCTACGTCAAGGCCGTGGACATCTACCTCTGGGTCAGCTTTGTGTTCGTGTTCCTCTCGGTGCTGGAGTACGCAGCCGTCAACTACCTGACCACGGCGCAGGAGCGGAAGGAACGCAAGCTGCGGGCGAAGGTGAGAGGATGTGCTCGCTGCCTTGCAGAAGCCCACACTCCTGGTTGGTTGAGAATTGGGGGCAGGGAGGTATGTGAAAACGGGGCCTGTTTATGCAAAAGAAGGAGGATCCATTTTAGAATAGGTGCTCACTGCTACCACAAAGGATTCCCAAACAGCAGAAAGTCGTTGGGTAAAGGTTAGGAATAGGAAGATTTGGATTTTTAGGCCCAACTCTGCCACCTATGCGCAGCCTCTGTTTCCTCATCTGTAAAAAGGACATAATGAACCCATTCTCTCGAATTGCTCTGAGGGTGAGATGAGGTAATGTCTGTGAAAGTGTTACAGGACAGGGAGAGGGTCACTCCTAAACCCCCAAACCTGCCCATTCTGCCATCCACCACATCAAGACAAAACGTATAAGGTCTTTAATGGAAAGGAATTTTAATACAAGTAGTATGCAACAAAGAAAAGACAAAGAATACAGCAAACTTTGGTATTTGAAATTCTTTCAGATTTTCAATAATTTGTATATTGATCATTATCAAATATCTTTGGATCTTATTTCAACATTTTGAAATTACAATTCATTAGACTTTCCTATGTAAGGCTGTTTAGAAAATAGCAAAGTTTCACCTGACAAGTATGGGCTCAGAAACCAGTGACTTTATTGAGACAGTTCATGACCCTATTACCATATAATGGGGTCTGGTCTTTGTCAGTGACCATAGAACACTGTCTGAAGAGCAGCGAGGGTTTCATGTGTGGAAAGGCCGTTGGGTGCCAAGTCCAATTCCCTGCCTGAGACCAGCACTGTCATCACACGTGTGGTTTAAAGACTGAGAAGAACTATAGATGCTGGAGGACGATGGTGGCAAGATGCAATATCTCTCTCCTGCTGCCGACATGAAGAAGCTATTATTCACGAACATTAAAAATGTCTTTGTTGGAGCTGAGGTTCCCAAGGTGGGATCCACAGAGCACCTGGCCTGGGGTCACCTGAGCCTGTTAGAACTGGAGATTCTGGTGCTGCACCACGGACCTACTAATTCAGATTCTCCAGGGATGGATGGCACTCTGAAATTAGTATTGGTACCAAACTCCCACATGATTATGATGCTCCCTGAAGTTTGGCCTCAACCACACAAAGGGCAAAGCTAACTGAAGCTTGATAGGTTCACCCCAGTTCAAATTGGGGATCCATGCTGCTTTGGGTTGAAGCCAGCAGACAGAGTCAGAGCACAGGGTCTGCCTCCCCCAAGGTGGGCTCAAATTCTTTGACTAATTATCCAGACCTGTCCAACATTCCAGAAGCCACTTAATCTTTTTTAGAAACAAGCTGATATGGGAAATGAGGATTTATTATCAATTTTGGCATCCTGATTCTAACTCAAAATCTTAGGGAAAAGTCTGCCTTCATTTTAGCAGAAAGAATTGTAAGAAAAAGAAATTGGCCTCTCTGTTGGTGCAGGGGGTTAAGCACAGCACTATGAAGCTATTGGTCAGCCTCTGTAGCATGAGTTCGATCTCCCGGCCTGCCAGGGAGCTGCCCACATGGCGCAGCAGACCTTACCTGCCTTGCCCACTGCTCCCCTCAGCAACATATTTCAGTATGCTACTGTTCTGCTCCCCACTCTGTCTGTGGTGAATCCTCTCACCCCCTGCATCTCTGGCCTGTACTCCAGTTCTTGTATGCATAAATAAATGAATCTTAAAAAAAGAAGAAACATGTAGCTAAAGAAGCATTAAAAAAGAAAAAGAAATTGATTCCTCTGCCCTTCAGAAAAAGTCCACAGTGAGAGTATCTCACAATTTTATCAAAGTTTGAGCACGATCATTTGTAAAGGAATGATGACCTCTCACCAACCTTCTATCCCTAAAATTTAAGAGTCAGTGTTCTAGAAGTGTATTTATGTGCTATTTAATAATTGTTGCTGATGGGGAGAGAATAGGAATAATAATGAAACAACCAAGCCTGATTTTAAAAAACAACAACAAAAACCCAGACCACAAAAGATTTCAAGTATGAGAATACTTTGAGTAGTTCTGATTTTGCATAGAATCATTCATCTGTTTTTGCTTTCTAAAGTTTCATGGTATCCATCTGAATATTTCAAGCTCCTTAACAATAGCAGGCAGGTTGTGAAGTGTCATTTCACTTTCTTGCATGGGAAAAGAGGCACTGCAGGAAAAGAAGCATTTCAAAGCAAATAGGTTTAGAAGAATGAAGCCAAGGCCAGCTGGCTGTATCCAGCAGGCTCCAGGCCTCTGGCCAATACTAGCTAGGTGCCAGCTGGAAGCTGTCATTGCTGACTCAAATTGTGGGGTGAAGTTAAGGGAAGCCATGTCCTTCCCTCCAACTCAATTCCTTATAGACATTTTCATACTTGCAGACACAGTTGAAAAAACAGGATAGTGTACATCCATATACCTACACCTACATTCAACATTGTTCACATTTTTGCCACCTTTGTGTGAGCTCTTTCGCCACATAAACAGATTTTTATTGGTACAGTAAGCCATTTAACAATACATGGCAGGCCCCCTGAACCTTTATCCTTGAAAGCAACTCTTTATAGAAAAAGGACACTCTCCTACTTAATCATCTTTTGATTCATGCACAAATAGCTGGAGTCCTACATCTGGAATCAGAATGTGTTGGTTTAAAGTCCTGACTCTCACATGCTGTGTGATCACAGGAGAAATATACAGTCTCTCTGGCTCTTAGTTTTTCGCTTTGCAACTGAGGGCATTTGTACTAAACCAACGGTTCCCAGCTCTGGCTGCACAGTAGAATCACCTGAGAGTTTTAAATTAGTCTGGCATGGAGCGCCAGGCATGGCCATTTTAAAGAGCCTCCCAGGTGATTCTAATATGCAGCCAGGCTGGAGAATCACTGGACTAAGTGATCTCTGGAGAGCCTTCTAGCTATCCCTCGGTGGTTCTGAGTAGCACTGGGGGCCTTGCTTTCGGCCCAGACTACCCCCCCGCCCATCTCATAAACATGCCTAATGCCTCCCCTTGTGTTTGCTGCCTGCAGTTCCCATGCTTATGTGGAATGCTTCACTCAAGAACCATGATGTTGGATGGAAGCTGCAGTGAGTCGGAGGCCAACAGCCTGGCCGGATACCCAAGAAGCCATATTCTGACAGAAGAAGAAAGGCAAGAGAAAATAGTGGCCCACCTGGCTCTGAGCAACGATTCCAATTCCTCCAGAAAGAAGGGGCTTCTGAAAGGCCAGATGGGTCTTCGTATCTTCCAGAACACCCATGCCATCGACAAATACTCCAGGTTGATATTCCCTGCCTCCTACATATTTTTCAACTTAATTTATTGGCTGGTGTTTTCCTAGGGTCTCTGAAGCTGTGTACGGGAAAGGGCATAGCTCTCTATGGGGCCTGACCAGCCACCCACAGACGGTCACCACACAGATCCAGTCTCCCAGGCCACCATGAACAGCGCCCCCTCTCTAAAGAGCCCGGGAGCCCTCCAGCTGCCCTTCCCCAGACCTGGTGGGATTTCTCTTGGTTCATGCTGTGTTGTGTCCCACATCATGCCTTGCTGGGATTGTCTTCTTCTGTTCTTGTGTGTGAACAGGCTCACAAGAGCCTCCCTCCTGTAAACAAAACAAAAACTCCAATGCCTTTCAGATGTTCTGACACACGTATGAAGCCTAGAATCCAGTTGTAAAGGAGAAGAGGAAATGAAAGGTAATCTTGGGGGCATTCTAGGTAGAAGACACAAAATTACGAACCAAATTAGAAGTAAAATATCTGTAAGCTCATGCAGCTGGGATAAGTGTCTATCTGCGAAGAAAAAAGCTCAGCCCCCAAACAGGAAATAATTTGACCTATGTGTGTCTGGCAACTGGCATGATTTTGCAATATTAGAGGACCTCATCCATCCATTCAACCATTCATCTAATATTGAGTGCCCACACTGTACCAGGTACTTTGGAAATAGCGTGGAAGTTTCTTAGAGGATTTCTCTAGCCTGTGTTCATTCTACCTATGGCAGAAAGCACTTCTGTCCTTTTTCTTCCCTCAACCTCCACTTCCCACACAGACCATTCTGTTTGCTGGTGCTTTTATTCCTAGGTCTGTCTAGAAAAGCTTTCCCAGTGTCCTATGAGGCCCTCATGAAACCAATTCCTGGAGATCCCATGAGGGATGAACCTAGGGCTGGGGTGAAAAACAAAGATAACTGAGTTAGTGATCGTGGAACTTAGTCTTGGCGGGGATGGAGGCATGATTCTGCTTGTGGAAATCTGCTTCAGATACAGCCTTCCTCCCTTTATAGACTCCCCCAGCAGGCAGTACCCTCAAGAATCCCTGTGTCTATGCCCTGCCTCCATCCCCAAGGACCCCACCTATGCTAACCAGAAGTTCCCCACACTCTAGACTGATTTCTTCCTTGCTTCTGCAAGCTGAGAATGCTTTCCTCTAATGCAGCTAAGGTCAGTTAGGAAAGCAATCTGATTTGTTGAATCCACAGTAAGTTGTGAAAGACTATGTCTAAGAACTTTGCTTCAGGTGTTTGCTAGTTTACTCAAGTAAATCTGATTAGTAGAATTTCTGGAGGTATAGAGGACAAGCCTTTGTGAAAGGAGTCTTTAAATTATATCACTTGGAATCAGAAAGCTGTTGCTGGGGAATAGGGAAGGAATGTGCATATCAGATTCTTGCTCACTAGAGGCTGTTGTTCTGTTCTTTCCCCATGTCCCTACTGCTTTGCTGTTTAGGGGCTGAGTATCTGGTTCTTTGATCAAGAGTAGACAAATGATACATCAAAAGAGAGAATTACCCTACCCCCAAACAAGTCAGCGCTGGCCTGTGGAGTCTGCTCTGTAGCTCATGACTCCTAGGGCAGGGATTCTTAAGTTTCTGAAGATTAGAAAACACATGGATACTGGCGCTTCTGGAAACTGGATCCTCTAGAACTTTCAACTCAGGAGAACTTTCAACTACGAGCCTGTAGCTACCTGATCCTCTCACTATCCTAACCACTCCTTGCATGATCCTGGCTCCAGACACTTGCTTCACCACACATTGCCCATATTGAGGACTAGACTCAGTTCCTGCCATGTTGTAATAGCCATATTTCAAGTGCTCTGCTCAATAGCCAGTAGCTAGGAACTAATGAATAGGGCAATGCAGATCTATAGAACATTTTCATAACCACAGGAAGCCCTGCTAGACAATGCTGCTGTAGAGAAGGGGGTGATCCTGAGTGAAGGCATGGAAGACAAGAAAGTTAGGGGTTGCAAAGCATAGGGCTTATGGGATATGTCACCTGTAAAGCTGGATCCTAGGCTGTAAGTAGAGAAGGTGATCATACTAGGGGTCATGGCAGGTCCCCCCATTCCATATAATGAGGACAGTTTCCCCTCCATGAAGTTGCCTGGCCCAAGACCACTGGATTCCTGGCCTCACAGACAAATAAAGAATGAATCAATGTGTGTAAACAGTGTGTAAACAAGAATGATTGGCATCTGGACTTGCTTAGAAAACCTTACTCTCTAGAGACTCCCCTAGGTGACAATGCTGCTTAGAGAATGAAATTTATTTTTGTTGTTAAATATATCATATTGCTTTGATTGTCTTATTTAATTCCAATACTTCTCTGCTTCTGATATTATCTTCATAAATTGAGACTCAAAAAACATGGTGGCCTGGTCACATTTAAAATTATAATAAAGATATAACTTATATATTAACTGGAGTTAATTCTATAACAACCATGTTTAGAATCATAAACAGCCTTTTATCATGTGAGACCATGATACAATGACACCACTGCATTTCCCACTGCCTTACACAGTGTAATAGTCTGACTCTACTTGAGAAAAATAGAAAATTAAAGGAGGTAAAGTGGAGATAACTGTAGAAATGGAAAACAGGAATGAAGAAAATGTGAGGACATGGAACAATTCACCCTAGAGGCAGGAAGACAGAGGAGTAAACAATTATTATCAGGGATGCTCAAATATGCTTTATTTCACTGAATTTAAGATACCATCAAATGTAAGTTGTACCCGTAGTTTATGTACCATAAGGAAAGAAAAATAACTGCTAGTAAATTACAATGTCAATGATTATAGGATAAATACTAATTTCATCAATATTAAAATTTGAAAAAGTTACCAAAAAAATGGTATTATATAAAAACTAGTGATCAACCATACTTCTTTGATTCCAAGGAAACTGCATTTATTACCCATTTGTCATCAAGGTCTTGTGCAAAGATAGAGGGTGGGGTAGTGGCTGATAAAGAAATGAATGGGAAACACCTTTCAGTTCATTAGTTAGCTTTTAGCATAGTGGCATGGCTCAAAGAAGGGGAAGATCACAGAATTTGAGGAGTTAGTGTTGTTTGTGGTAAATTTCAAGCATAGATATAATTCAACTAGTAGGAAAGGAGGGAAGAGGAACATAGCAGGAGAAAAACTAAGGTATATTAGGGGACCGTGGACAGGCACCCCACCAAATGTACAAAAGAGATGAGATTGGAAAAGTGCGTTGGACCAAGAAGGATTCTGAACAGGGAAGTAATAATCTTTGGAAAACTGATTTACTTGCCAACAGAATATAAGATGCTATTTCTTCAAACCCTTTTGGTTGTCAGTGACAGAAATACAAGTGAAAGTGGTGCAGGTGAAAAAGGGGATTGATTGGAAAGATCCTATAAATGTTCATAGAATGAAAGAGAATTCACAAAAAGCAAGGAAGCTCTGAGGAATTAGGGTTTGAAATCAGGACTCAATACCTCTCTCTGGGAGTATTCCTCCATCTGTCACTCTGACTTGTCTTCATTCATTCTCGCCTATTGCAGAAAGGTTATTTCTGCTGACCTGGATATGGGTAGAGGACAGCATCAGGCCCTCACCCTTCTAGATCAAGGGTATGTCTAGGTTGAATCTACTTACAGTAAACTTGGGAAAGGAATTTGACTGATCTGATCTGAACCATGTATGTCAAAGCTCAAAGCTCTGAGCTGTAGGTAAGTTTAGAAAGCCAGAAGCTGTTAAAAATAGAAGAAAGAAAAACAGGTCCAAGAACGGAGTCCTTCATTTAGGATTCCCACCCAGATTTTAAAATTATTGTAGTTTCAACTTTTCCCAAAAGTATAAAACTAAATCAATCAATCTGGAATTTCTTAATCAGCAATAGTAATTTTCATGATAAGGCCACCTGCCTTGCCCTGAGGGAAAGTGACTTTACCTGAAATAATCTTTTGCTAATTACTTTGTCCCATCTGTTTTCTATCTATAAATACCCTCCATTTTGTGTAACACCTTGCATTATCTGGATGGGATGCTGCCCACTTCATGAATCACTTAATAAAGCCAATAAGGTCTCTATATTTGTGAATTTTGTTTTTTAGCAAACCTTTTAAGAACATTGATTTGGTTAAGTCTTCTTGTAAACGTCTGCAGAAAGGAGACCATGAATTTGAAAAATGAAAGTTGCTTAGTTTGAGGATAATGATAAGGCAGGAAAGTCATAATTATAGAGGAGAAATTTTATGTTAAGCTCCATTCTGTATAAGAGTGTATACTGATGGTATAGCATCAGACACTGGGAAGCCAGGGGAAAGGGCTAGAACATGTGGAGGATAAGGAGTCTGGCTTCTATAAGCAGGTGGATGTCTAACAAAAGTTATAAACACTGGCCTGAGTCTGGAGAGAGATAAAGGTTTGGGATTACCCTTCTGGATGTGCTCAATGAAGCAATCAAAGGGGATGAAAGTGAGAAGGAAGGTCTGCAGACAAGAGGTTGGGATGTATATATTAAGTGGAAAAAGAAGTGCTGGTCAGAGAAATAAGAAACAGAAGACAGTTGTGTCATAGAAACCAGGAGGAGGGGCTGGCAAGTGGAGAAGGGTGGGGCTAGGGACAAATAATCTCAAAAATCGAGAAGGGTGAAGATAGACAACAGAGTGACAAGATGGAGGCTGAGTTCAGGTGTGCTGTGGACGGGACAGCTAATGAATTTCTCTGCCATTAACAAAGACTCAGAGTCTAAATGAAGTTGCAATGGGGGGAGGCTGGGGAGCATGCCATCAAGAGCAGCTCTGCCTTTCACTCTCCCAACCCAAGCTTTTAGTAAAGATATGACCAAAGGAAAAAGAAAATAGCATGCAATTGTGTTTTTGCTTATAACAGATTAATAAATTACTGCTGAAAACAAGTTTTCCTAGTTAGTAGGGAACATGCGCACAAGACAGCACGTCCTCAGTATACAGGAGTCAATTCTGGGAAGAAGTTCTATTTGCAAAACTTCTAACATCCTGGAACTCAGTATGCAGAGTAAACAGGTGTTCTCCAAAAACTTCAGCTCCCTTCAGGGCAGCAGGCTCCCAACACAGGTGGGAGATGTTACCCAGGTTGATGACTCCTCTTGGAGCCCTCAGTCACCACAGGTAATTTAAATAGGTAGAAGGGAACATTATCAGATAATTAATATTTATTATGGAAAGGCTA